GTGTTCAATTAGAGGTGGCACATTTAACGGTTATTAGTCGCGGTCGCAATGACTCGCAGGTCGCATTTGACACGTCGATTGGCAAAATAAGAGGTTGGGAGAAGCGAAACGAGGGAAAGGAGGCAGGCGTCCCCCCTCGGGTCATAGAAACATGTGGCTGGTGATTACCGCGGGTGTTTACTCGTGTTTGTCCTGTTTGTGTCTGGAGGAGACGGGTCATAATCACGTGCCATCTCCAGCTAGGATTACGTAAGTGGTTTTTCTGACTCCTCCATCTTATCGGGTTCAAAGAAATATATGACTAGGTGTAAGGACTCGCAAGTGCATTGTTAGTTGAAAACATGCCTCACTCAGTATCTGTACCACCAACGGGCCTGCAGGCCCTAATTCTTGTGAGCAACTAGCTTCCCATATATATATCTTGAAACAAAAGCTAACAAGCAAACAAGTGCGGCCCTGGTGTATCGCTTAATACATTCACCTCGAACCCTGAGGAATACCCAAAATGCCTTATCCCAGTGGCCAACCGTCCGATGCTCTGGTACGCCCTAGACTGGTCGAAAAGGATGGGCATTACTGGTAAGCCCATGCCCACTGTCGAAATAGCATGCGGGGCATTCCGTGACGCCATGTGCTTTGTCGCAAAACATCGGATGGAAGACTGACCATGCTAGATGTCACTTTGGTCACTCCTCCCTCTTCGCTCGCTCCCCTCCAGGCCGCTCTACGACAGAACCCACATCTTACCTCACTCCCTTCGCCATCTGTCATCGCACCGGCGGAACTCGAGATGACCACTGGCACAGCAGAGCTCCTCCGTCTGCCCGAGGTGCAGGCGTGTATCAAGTCCGACTTCCTTCTCTTGCCATGTGATCTAGTTTGCGAAATACCCGGCGAGTCTCTGCTTGAAGCATGGATGGTGTGTGGCGGCGAGAAGGATCGTCGGAATGGACTCAGCATGTACTATCAGACACAGGGTCGGGAGGAGAGTGTCAAGGGCGAAGCTACAGACTTCCTGGCAGTTGCGCCACTTGAGCAGAATGAGGCTCCTACCGTGTCTCATGCCGCGCCCCGTTCCTCGCTCTCCAAGCTAGTCCTTTCTATGCCCATGGCCACATTGAAAGAGAAATTGGAAAATGACAAGGGCTTCCTTGTGCGTCACTCCCTGGTGGATACGCATGCGCAGGTGAAGTTGCTGACGACATACCGTGATGCGCATATCTACGTCCTACCTTACTGGGTCAAGGACATGGCTCGTTTGAATGAGCAATTCCAGTCGGTCGGCGAAGACTTGGTTGGATGGTGGGCCAAATCGGAATGGCAGCAGGGCCTCAGCGGGAAGCTGAAGATCAACGAAATTTTCCAGCAGAAAAGTCGTCGCCAGAGTCACGGGCTCACTTTAGGGGAGAGTGAAAGTCACGACGGTGAATCCCTCGATGGTGAATCGCTGGAGGAAGAGATTGACCTACAGAGCATGAGCACTACCAAATCCACCCCAGCCAAGTTCACGTCGCAAACTGCCAAGAGTTCCAAGTCAAATCTACCACCGATGCTCGCTTACGTCCAAAGGGGCACAGCACCTTTTGTTCGACGGGTGGATTCATCCGCCATCCTTCTATCTACCTCTCTCCATCTTGCTAAACTAGAGTCCATCGAAGAGGTTGGCCGAGTTGCTTCGTCTGCATTCGCGCACGCCTCCAAAGTGGCGAACACAGCGAGCATCGCGCAGCGGTGTACCGTCACGAGGAACGACTGTCTCGTGGACAACAACTCAACGGTTGAAGAAAAGTGTGTGATCAAGGAGACCATCATCGGTGCTAATTGTCATATTGCCAGCGGTGCTCGGTTGACACGTTGTTTGATCATGGACGGTGCTGTTGTTGGTGAACGCTGTCAATTAACGGGTACCATTGTTGGACGTCGCAGTAAGATCGGCCGGGAAACCGTGCTGAAGGATTGCGAGGTTCAAGACGGAAACGTTGTTCCTGATGAAACCGATGCCAAAAATGAGAAGTTCATGATCTTTGAGGGTCTGGACGATGAAGATGATATGAATGCTTCGGAGGATGACCAAGATTATTGATTCAAGGTATATAATTCTGGCTAGATGTTTATGAGACAAGATCGATGAGATCCAGGAGATCAAAAAATAGAATTTTATACCCCTGCATCCAAGTTATGAAAGGTGAAAGCCTGGCATGTGTGTACACTGTACCCTAAACTGGCACTGTACGGAGCAGAGGACACAACAATATCGGACATGATCCGAGCGAAATAGGCTAAGAGGCTCATAAATACCACAGTACAACGCCATGTGTATTGCCAATGGCCAATCCGCTCTCCTCGTGCTTCCCCGGATACAACATACTAAAAGTTAGTACTTCCGACTCAATGCTAGTGCAAGCACAGGACCTGGGACCTTTGGGACGTTATCTTGGCAGTGGAGATATGCGTCCTTCGTACTCCGTATGTTGTACATTAATTAGCACCCTACATGAACTATACTCCGCACGAATGAGCAGTGTTGAATGCCTCTAGAGCCGGTTGCGTCCATATCCACCTGTCAAACAATCAGACCACAGCGTGTGTGGATTCGGGATTTGGACTGCACAAAGGCTGGCCCTTGGTCTGTGCCCGAATGGCTACCCCTGATCAGCCACGTACTGTGCATGTTATTGAGGGTTTCCCCATTCGGTTGAATAGGGATATTGGCAGCGCACAGGGCCCTGGTAAATGAAACGGGGGCGTCAGGATGCTTAATCAATGATTTGCGGTATCAGACGCGGGCCCCCCCCCTCAGTGCGCAATAATCTAAAATGCACGCTAAATTCCACGCTCGGGAAAGGTCGGTGCCCTGGTATTCTCCACCCGTGTATGGAGTGTGTTGTTCGGAGGTGATAAATGGTCTAAACGACTCGAGTGGGAAAAAAGTGTATGCCGATCACGCGGGAAGTTGTCTTGTATGTGGATCGACGGATTGAGTGGTTTGCAGCAAGTGGGGAGTGAAAGCGGGACAGTTTTGACGCGGAGATGTCGGATTGTACGGTATCTGACGATGGAGATAAGAATTTACAAGGATCTTGTCGTGACTCTGAAAGGTATTACAAGTAGAGACCAGTTGAGGTTCAGCTCTGGAGTGGCGCGGTGCCAATAAGCTGAATTGGTGCGCCGACGAACTCATGTCATTTTAGGGCTTCGTTTTACATACCGTTGAGGTTGAGAGATAAAGCTTATTTAGAACCGGCGGTATAACTAAGTGTATAGGTTGTAGAGAACGAAAATAGATTAAGTTCTAAATTTTCAACTCGGAGCCATAGATATGATCACGCCATGCTGTACGGCAGAACTAGGAAATTCAGCCTTATTACGTAGTGTGACGTTGGAAGTGTCTCAGATATTAGTAGATAGGAATGGTATGAAATAGAATAAGACGATATAGAACAATATGATTGCTCGATAACTGTCAACTAGCTTGGGTGGATTACCACAACCCATGGAAACAGCTTGGACTCCAAGTCCGGGTTAAGCGGGGAGTCTTTTAGTCAATTGACAGATTAGGGCTTACTATTTAGGCATACAAAGTACAGAGAAAAGCCCCCAAAGTCCCAAAAGTACAAATCCACGTACTTTAAGATGTTTTGAACACATGTGGATTCGTGGAAAAGCCGAGATAGCGTCACAGTTTAGTGCAGGCGCAAATCGCGGGACGCGGTGCCAGGCCGATCGGATCCATGTCGCTAATTCCTTCGCCCGCGTTCTCTGCAGAAGGTTGCCTTGCGTTAGTTTGACAGGAGTCTCTGTGGTCAGGTACCGGGTGACATACATTCGGACTTGGAACCATGTACGAAAACAAGATATTTATGAAAGATCTTGACTCAGAATAGAATGGGTGGCTATGAAGATGTCTAAGAATATCAAGATGGAGCATCAAGGGGAGCCCTATGATTGGCACATAAATTTGGAGGTCGGGCCCCTTTTTATGTACGGCTTCAGGAGGTGAATTAATGAGTTAAGTAGGAGGATAGTTAGTCTAGTTAGTATGTTAGTATGTTAGTATGTTAGTATGTATATAGTCAGTATGTATGTATTAGACAATACTAGACAGACATACAACATAGATGTAGACATACCAAATGGAAATACCACATGTCGTACTCCTATCATGCAAAGCGACGCATAAGCATAATTAGTTCAGAAACGAATTTCTCTTTTTTGGCTAGCTATTTGACCGATTTAACTGACCTGGCCATTTCCCTATACTATTTCCCAATTCCATTCAATTCCAATTCCAATTCCAATTCCAATTCCATTCAAGTTGGCCCTGGAGTCCGTACTCCCGGACCTAATCTACCCCGTGTCTACCGTGATCTCTCCCCCCTCCTATTTTCCCTCCTCTCATCTCCTCCCCTTCTTCTTCTCTTCCCACTTCTAAGAAACAGGCACATTCGAGTGTCATTGTCATCTGAAGGTCCTGGGGTTGATTCTGTTTACTCTCTTTTTTCTTCTTGTACATGGCTCTCCTATTCTAGAGACGTCTCATCATCTTTTTTTTTGCCCACCTCCTTTCGTTTCTTTCAACTCGCCTGGTTTCGAGTTTCATTCTTCTGGCATCAAGCGTCCTTTTTTTAATTGTTGTACCACTATAGTCTATGTCCACGTTACTTTAGAACAGGTATGGTTGCCCCCCTAGCTGACGCGGTTCCTTATTCCCCCCAACGTGCACAGCAAAAGAGAAAAAAAAATACGCAAAGCACGACACCTTTCCTTGCAAACTCCACCCTTCATATCGCATTCAACAACGTGAGGGTTCTTATTTGGGTGATAGATAGCTGACAGCTCTTTGGTCGCAGCATCCCATCTCGTTCCTCGGATCCCTATTTGACACGAACACACCTCGGGCTCATATTCTGTCTCTTTTTTTTTTCTATTTGCGAGTTGCCTTAGATCACAGCCCTGGACAACTCGTGATTTCCTTGAGACAATTTGCTGGGGAAAACAATATGGCTGCGTTGGTTCAAACAATTCCGCAACAGAGTGGCACGGTACCTGTGCTTCAGACGCGTCCTTCATCCTCATCAGGCACCTTCTCTTCTTCCACCCAGAATCAAGGCTCTCGTATCCAGACTATGTCTTGGACATCATTCAATGCTGGTAATTCCGGGACTTATCGAGCGGGCCACCCGGTAGTGGCTCCCTATGCCTACAACCCGAACATGGGCCAATCCGTCCAGAATCGGCAATCTTGGACACCACATCTCCGGCCAGAACATCGCACCTTTTCTGCACCCACCACCCCTCAAGTGCCGGTGAATCCGACATACACCGGTGCCAGCCCCCGATCCTCTCATCCTGCAGCTGGTTCTGTATCCAATTCCTCCAACTCTTCCTCCCGTTCCTATGTTTCCAAGGACGATAGCGCACTTCCCTCACGGCCGAGGAGCGACCAGCCGCTCCGTCCCCTATCTACCGCCAACCTTCCCTCCCCCCGATCATGAACATCTCGTCACCGAAACCCTCCCCGAATCGGTATCGTCGTACCCCTCAACGAGCGGAAGCCGCACCATCATCGCCTGCTCCCTCGCCGATTCCGACCGTGATTGTCGATGACTTTGGTGGCCCTCGACCAGTTCGACCCAGCGCTCACAGTCGCGTCTCAAGTGTGGATGATTCATCTTATGTCGATAGGGCCCAGCCTGAACGATATCGACGACGAAGTCTGGGCAATATGGATGCCGCGGCGTACCCAAACCTGCCGCTGGATTTCCCGACCTCACCTTCCTCTCAACCTCAATCGGGATCCTACGACTTTATCACATTTGATGCCAACCAACGGCCTGCGTCCTCTCACTCTCAGCGGGACAGCGTGGGCAGCGTTAACTCGACACACTCGTCGGCCTCCTCGGTAGGATCATTCACAAGGTCGCATGGAAATGATGCAGCGCTAACGGTGTCGATTTCACAGGCACGAGAAGGGACACCATCGGAATCCAACTCCGTCACTAGCAAGACCGGCAAGACAGAAGAAAAACGTACGAGCAAGCCATCGCCATTATCGCAACCGGTATCGACAGAACCCGAAGCCCCCAAACCCAAACCTCCAGCCGAAGCTCCGAAAAAGCCACCACCGCCTACACTGGATTCTCCTGCTGCGAAGCGTCTCAACGATTTGAAAATGGACACGAAGCGCCCCGGGAAATCACGCCTGAGACGGGCTTTCTCGTTCGGCAGTGCCTCCGAGCTCCTCAAGACATCTGCACAAAGCAATGCTTCCAAGCGGGAAGCATTTGCCGCGGACCAGGCGCGCCGTGAAGCTCTGAGAGAACAACTTGGCCCGGAACAGGCCGCTATTGCCGAGCAGCAGGAACTGAGCGGACTAGGTGAAAGCATCTACTCCCATCAAGGCCATTTCTTCACCGGGTCCAACGATAACCTGTCAGTGTCATCGACCGCCTCATCAGCGTCGATGATGCTTCGCAAGATGGGCAAGGGCATGAAGCGCTCTACTCGCTCATTGGTTGGCATGTTCCGTCCTAAATCCGTGGCCAGCATCAATTCCATGGAGGGTGCGATCCCCGAAATTCCAGCCCCGCAGATCACCGTGGTGAACGTTGAGGCAGAACGGGAGCGTGTCGCTGTCAACCCCGACCCCGCAGATTTGCCCCGTGGGGCTACTGTCTTCCCTAAGGTTGACAATGCATCGGAGGTCAGACGATCCGTTTCCATTCGGGAAAGAGCCGCATCGGAGAACTCTCAGTCGCGTAAGAGCATCATGGGAGGAGACCGAGAACGGGCGGAGATCCTGGCGGCCGTCCGCAAGGGTATCTTGAAGAGTGCGTATCTCCACACAAATACACTTGGCATTTTAGCATACTGACCTTAGTAGAAACTCACTCGGACTTCGGTGTCTCCTCGCCTGCACACGCACTCCCCGGTGGTGATTCACCGCACTCTAGTGCTCCTCCCACACCCGACGAGTCGTCACGATCCCCAGCTCACCAAAACGATCCGGTGAAGATTGCGGGCGAGGACTACTTCCTCTCGGCGCGGTTTTCGTCTTCTGAAGCGAAGAGTGCGCCCATCACCCCGTCAACTGTTGCTGGTAGAAATATCGTCTTCAGTCCTCGCATCCAGTTCCACGAAACCTGGCCTAGCGGCGAGTACGATCGACGTGGAGAGATTGCGACTTGCAACCGTCTCACCCCGTTGCTTGCTCAACAGATTCGGGAGGAGATTAATAACTTCAAGATGGTGAGTTACTTGCATTTTTCTATACTTCGATTGTGCCATTACTAACAATAATACAGGAGATGGAAGTTCATGAGAATTCCAAGATCTACACGCATTTCATTTAAGTTTTGGGCGGGAGTTTCTTGCATCGCTCAGTGACCTGAATCTGGCCATTTTGGTCAGGTCCATATCCACCGAGCCTGCATTCTTGTCTAGACATGCATCGATTCCGGCGCAATAAGGTGTTTCATGATTTTTTTTCATCGCATGAACAGAAGCTGTGCTGTCCGGGTGGATCACAATTGATCCTATGGATTGGTGTATGCTCTATTCAGAGCGATTTGACCGATACAATGTGCTTCCGGCGGATAGTCCGCCAATCCAAAAAAACGACATTCTCGAAAAGGCTCGGTGGTCTCTAGACAGGCGCTAGCAGCGCCTGTCCATCCTAAACTTAAGATATTCCCTCCCACCTCGAGGATCTTGTCTTAGGTGTTGATCTAATGAATGTTCCTCCGACCATCTAATCGGTATGGCGGTGCATATTTCCCACTTGTTCTCTGCCGTCATTTCTTTTCAACTCTGTTCTCTTTTTTTTTTCTGCATCGTGTGCATCTGAGTCATTGTCATTGTCATTGAGTATTATTGGGAGCGTGGGTAACCGGACTGTTCTGTTCTTTCATTTCATTTACATTTTCCCTCATTATTCTCCTGTCCTTTTAGCACATCGTTCCTCACGGTCATCTCTGGGCCCATTTCATATCTATCACTCACTAAGCTCCTCTGAATCCAATGTCTAAGCCTTGTTGCATTCTGTCTTGACATCTCATTTTTGATATCTCTTCCGCTGCTGTGTTGGGTAAATATGTTTAATGGGCGGTTCTCGTTGTCTGCACAGATTCAATTCATGTCGTTCCTTGTGACTATATTGTTACTGTAGTTATGTAGTTAGTAGGGTTATTTGTTTTCCTTTGTAATCTGGGAATAGTAGATACACGAGCTTCGTCTTAGTTTAAGGCCCATTGAGAGTGTTGGTTTTAGAGACATATCTTCTTGAACTAAGCAATATAGTAATCTCAACATACGACTAATGTAGAAGCTCCGAGTAAGCTTAACTCTTGATTAAGACATGAGATACCCTAAGCTGACCTCGCAAGTGGCAAATACTAGTAGAACTTGAGTTACGTTGGCACTTCAATTGTCCTTTTTTGCAGGGTTGTATGGCGAATGATATAGATCCTCAAGTAGAACATAGCAATTTGATGAGATATCGAGTGCAAATACATCAAGTCGAATCTGCCAAACATGAACTGCCCCTTAAGCGTATTATTTCCAAGGCTAGAAGGTGTTAGCTGTCAGTGAATGGTACAAATTGGGAAGTTACTATAAAGTCTCAGTATCCAACTATGATGGCCTTGGTATTATTCTCTTTACCAAGTTAAGCGCTGTCAGACATCTCACCTGGTTGTTTACTACTGAAAAAATGTATCTGAAGTATTGCTTTCCACCAATTGTATATCTTACAGTGGTACAATATAGACCGCTAGTACCGCTAGTTTATCTATCTGTTTCATTTCTTTCTCTTTGAGTACGACAGGAATAGTTCTAAGAACGAGAAGAAAGGGAAGTTGTGGAATCGTGATCTTCATCCCCGGAAATACTGCAGCATCTATTTTCGTTCATTCTTTGTTTTAAGGGCGCCCAATAACTGAAAGAATGTGTCATTGGTATCGATTAGGTATACGAGAGATTTAACTTATGAACACTCCTTTGAAACTAGCTTATACGAAACGATCCACTTTACCAATCTCTCTACCAGCGATGTCTTTGTCCGTGTTTAATGAGATTCCGAACCGAGCCTGGAAGTTTATTCTTTTGAGTTGATATTCTTTCACCGCGTAGACAGCTCATGGCACGAAATTCAGGATGAAGAACTTTAGGGCCAGTCGAGTCAAAGGACTTGGTGGAGAGGGAGGACAGATATAAAACCACTAGCGATGCCCTCGACTAATCTAGAACATCTACAGTTCTGCCATCTTGCCTGGCGCCATACATCCTCTGCAGGGCGTAATTTGTCTTGGTCCCCCACCACCACTATCTAAAGAAGAAACAATAGAAGCAATCAACAACCAAGCAAGGCCAGCTGCAGATGTGGCTAGGATTTTAGATGAAGCACAAGTTGCTAATATTCTCTGGGGCACGATGACTATAGGTTTAGTTGGCAAATGGAAAATGCACGTGAAAGTAAGTGAATCTTTATTGTGTGGCCCCCTCTACCCTATCACTGGATCATGTTAACTCTCCAGGATGTTGAATTCTTGATCCTTGATCATCTTATCCCCGTGGCCTCTGAAGCTCTGATCACTGCTGGTCTCATGTCTTATGCGGACCCTGACTGCGGTGAAGTACAGACTAAGGGAAACGATCGCCCTATTCCTGCGGTGCATTTTCACATCGAGGCTCAATATCCTCAACACAGTGTACTAAGGCTATACCCTAAGTCTGGCCATCTCTGGTGGCTTCCAGACTTCTAGATAGGTCCTCCTGCTGCAGATGATCCCGACTTGATGCTTTCCAATGATACTCGACTCCCACCATATGTACCAGAGGGATCTTCGGGTCCGTGGACTAAGCTTTATCCCATCAAGATCCTTAACCCAAACTCTTTTACTGAGGCGGTCTGGTGGTTGACTTTTCGAGACCTGGATCACGCCAATTCGTACGATAATACATGGATAGGGATGATACCCCCTCTGATGGAAATCCACGAGAACCCCCACCGATCAATCAAAAGAACCCTGCGTCCTAAGTTCCAAGCTATGTGGGAGGAATTTAATTTGCCCGATGAATAGAGAATACGAAGAGTGTGGCTCCCAGCACTCGAGCTTATGCAGGAGATGAGGGATAACAATGAGCTGCCGCCTCTACCTCCCAGCAATTGGTATGGAACGGTTGAGGCAGCTCAACGAGCTCGCCGTTGGATTTGATTTGAATTGTCTCGAATTGCTTTGTTTTGTCTTACTTAGTTTATGGTTTGAAATGTTTTCATTTTCTTTGTTGGGTTTGTTTGTGAGATTGTAACCTTGACTCGCCTTTGCAAAAGGATCATAGAGTAACAAAAAAAAAAAAAAAATTCAGATTACCCGGTCTGAAAACAATTGTCTGGAATAAGTAACTGTATGGGAAATGGTCCATTATTTCTCACACTGTACATTCATATAAAGGCGCTTCACGATCAACAAAGGCCCCTTAAACCCCGATTCAGGATGCGAGATTTACCATAGCATTCTCACACTAGAATGAAACACTTTTTAGTTTCTCTGAGAAATAGGACGTCAAAACCGGGGCATTGAAGTTTCATACAGTTTTGTAGGAGCAATATTATCTGGCTAGTAGATTTAGATAAACCAACCCATGTGCCCTAACATCATCTCCATTTATCAGATTCGATCATGACACCCCTATCTGCGCTTCCGTCCTCGGAGACCACCGCTAGAGAAACCTTACGTTGCCTGCAGGGGCTTGAAGAGTTCAATAAAGTTCGAATACTTGTAACCGGTGGATTGGCCCTATTGAACCATTTCCCCGGCAGTGAGGTGGAGGAAGCGAGTCTCCGATACAACTAGTCTAAAGAAGAAACTAATTTGATTTCCCTGACAGAAAGTCGAATTTCTCGTCTTTCTTGAAGGTGTATTTGATCATAGGTTAGACGAGCATCCTTCCGGGGCTCCAGATCTGTTTAAATCGAGACTATCGTCCATGCACCCAGACAGCTTTCGGCACCAACTCAATCTATTCCGAATCAATGGCATACAACTTCAATTCATACCAAAGGAAATAGTAAGCAAACACCGTCAATCCCACTATTTTCTATTTGAATACTCACTTATTAAAGTTACCCTATGTCCCACAAGGAGCAAGAACGATCGCAGAGACCAGAGAAATGAACACCAATGACCTACCGTATATCTCTGGTTTAGACCTGTTCGTTTACATGGTTGTGAGTTACGAGATGAGTACGGAAACATCAAACGGATGCGCCTATGTTAGGGTGATCACGAATTTCTTGCGACATCTCCAATCTAGGGGACCAGTCGTTTTCTCGTCTCAGCAAATGGAATCTTTGGCTAGCGGATTAGATTGGCTTACGAAATATGGCCGATGGGACCAAGAGCAGTGGGTGCTAGAGTTGGGTCTTGATTGAAAAAGAAAAGCGAGATCAGATCAGAATATAATAATGTATTGATAGCTAAGCATTTCAGCCTATTCATTGGGACCTAATTTGTACCCTCTGCGTCCTATGAATGTGAGAATTAGAGGCAGCGGCATGATCGAGGCTGCATGACTTTGTTTAAAAAGAGCATTGACAGTGATCAGATGTGATACTTCACTTGATTTCTCGCCCATATCAGTTTGAGATATTCAGTAACAGGACCATCAAGATACTGTGTTAAGGCAGGGCACACTTTCCTTAATGATCGAAGTATCCAATGCCAAGAAATAAGCCACATTGACATTGGTTTCTCAGTTACCAATAGGGAGTCATCAGCCAGAGGGGTTACAGTGCAGAAGACCTTGCTTACTTGCCATCGTTCAGCTGACACCGAGACCGGGGGCTATTTGTAGTGACTTCCAGTTCATATTGCATATAGTAACGCCACTGATTTCTGTATTAATTAGATTCTGATCAGGTCCAAAACCCCCAAGCCCTTCATATATAAGCAGAATGCACAACGAAATATCACCCTATCATTACGCAGTTAATCCAAGTAGCAGCCGTCAAGTGCATCTGACGCGTCACCCTAGTCTCTTTCCAGGTTGTCTTTCGTCACTGGTTAATTGTCTGACAATAAGACATTATAACTGCCCAACCGTACACCCAGCGCTAATATCCAAATGATCTTCTCTCCAGAATCATCATCGAAAAAAAATGAGATTGAATATTCTACCGCTCAGTATGGCTTTGGCCTCGCAAGCCATAGCTGCACTCTCTGAATCGGAGCTACAAAAGCGCTATCCGACAGGATCCTTCTCCATTCTTGCCTACGGTGTCGCATCCGACGGAGTCAAAGTCTTTTATTCGGATGGTTATTATAATTTCCCCTATGAGTCTGACTCCCATCTGACCGATACCTAGGGCTCGCATATGTCGGCGATTCGTCTCAGTGGGTATCTGGATCGGTGACAACCGATGTTAGATGTATGATATTTCTCTTTTATCTCATTTGCATTTGCGCTTTTCTTTTAACCAGGACAACGGCTCATACTCTATTAGTTGTCTTCAATAACTCCCAGATCATCGCCACGGCCACCAACAAGGATTACACCTTTGAATCTGACACGTTCTTCTACATCCGTCCCACGCCTAATAAGGTGCTACCTGTGGGTTTCACTGGGGACGATGATACCCCGGACGATGCGAAGGTAGATCAATTTCTTTTCTATGGCAGGTATCTCATGTGGCAAAATGAGAATGGACTTCTGTGCGATTCGTTCCGTCTGAAGGCTACGGATGTCGACGATATTTACCAGCTCTACTGGGACACTTCGAACCTTTATCCTTCTGGATTCTTGGTTCCGACCGTGAAGTCGTCCGTTTAGAAGAAAATGGATCGACATCTCAAGTCCTAGTCAACTAAACCTATAATTCAAGGGTAGTATATTTCATTAGATTGTAGTCGATTCCGCGAGAAATGGAAAACTATCCCATAATGGTAAATCCATACCCTCCCAGTCGAATAAAGTCCCATCAATCATGGGAGGTGACACAGCAGCTGTGCTGTCGTTTGAATTTAACCACGCATATGATGTGACACTCTGCGATATATGTGGGGTCGTATTTGCTTCTTCTTCGTTCCCCTCACTTGGTGTCCGCGGTGTTGCCGGGCTGTCGTTCATGCTAAATATCCGACTGACGTATTGACTCCGTCGCTGTCGGGCTTGGGTAGCGAGTTGCTGGCGCTGTTTGCTTATGGCGGCCTCGAGTTTTGTTATTATCTCTAGGTAGTGAGCTGCCTGAGCAGACTGCAGCGCCAGCATGCGTAAGATGGTCAGGGCACCGCGGAATACCTCATCAATCTCAGAATCGACGTCACGGTGAGAGAACATGGAGAACCCGAGCACAAGGGCTGCGGCAAAGATAAACGCTCTGTTTGAGATTAGTATTGGAGTTACTAGATAAATATACAGGCAGACTAACTTGAGAATACACATATTCCGAAGGAGGAGGCCGGACTTATGAACCTCTAGACATGTTTGGAGCATGTATACAGCAGAATCAATACATGCCGCTGCGAGACGAGAGTGGGCTGGGTCCTCCCCAGGCACCTCACTGGGATCACCGGTCGAAAGGCTCTGGTGTAACCGGGCCAGCCGGACACTCAAGGCCGAGACGAGGAAAGGTCGGGTGACTAAGATCACAGCAAAATGATATGAACATGCAACGTGCATGTTTCCAATTGTATGCTCTTGGAAAGTACTCTGGTCTTGGTGTCCTAAAGACGACGTCCTTAATGAACTCGGCAAATATTCACCCCAGTCGTTTAATTTGCATAATAGCAGGTCTGCCTGTTGTGCGGATGCGGCCTTGTCACTGTAAAGGCAGTTTATGATTTTATCGAGTATCAACGACAACTGATATGAGGCCACCAGGCCAGGATCGCTCGGTGCAGCCCCCCAGCTAAGTCCCTGTCGATTCTCAGGTAATAGAGGTGATATAGCAGAAGGTCTCCCGAGGATCGAACTGACAAGTAAATCGAGAATACATAAGCTCATCCACAATCGTGATCTATTTGAGGTTAGCTGGGCCAAGGAAGATCTTGCGAGAAGCTTTTACCGTTTATTTCTCTCACCACTCTCATCGGGGCATATTGAACCTGAAAATTCCGCATGAAACCCAAGCGCCACTGCTGCTCTTGACGCCACTCCCAGGTACATGAATGCCGTGTTCCGACGGCATGCGCCCAGCATATAGAAGGACATGAGTAGAAACACTCGGACTAAATCCACGCTAGGATCTTCTAACATATTGGCAAACGTCCTACGTTGACCGCGAGAAAAGTAGAACCGCTCCACCTGAAGGGATTCTCGGTCATTCGGGGAGCATTGTGCTCCGATAGCAACCATAAGGTCCATGATAGCTGCCCTAGTTATTTCCCGATCGGTTTTGGGCTCTGCTGGGTCAATGAATGAGGATGAAACGTCGTCACTAAAGCTCAAATTAAAAAAGCCGCTCGTCTTGCATACTGTTAGTAATTCATCCACCCTGAATGATTGGTATTCGCCCTACCGCTGCGTGGTAATTCTGGATAAATCGGTCCTTCTCATCAACAGTGCAACATTCTTCAGAGAAATTCAACAGATCATGATGAGCTTCTGTCTCTAACATATCTTCACTTGCCCCATTATGAGAGAACTGCGAGGGTCCAATATGTTGGGTCACTGTATCCCGAAGCAATTGTAGGAATGACAAAGAGGCAGCCTTCCCGACGTACACTGCGGACAATGTCAATCAAATGATATGCATAGCGGTCGCAAACGTTCATACCTCGGTCCCCTTGCAGGTTGCGGAGCATGCGTGGATGTGTCCGATGCGTAACTTCAGGCGAGTGCGATCCCACCTCGGGCGTGTCAGGCTCGACACGGGGCGTATCAATGTCATGAGACTGTGACGTCAGGAGGCTTTGCAAATCCACTGACAGTCCCCTCCGCGTCCGAGGTGCCTCAACTGTGGGTCGTGAAGCAGGTACGAGACGGCTTCGGAGGCCTGTGTTTGATAAGGACTTGAATGGGGTGCATGAGCGGCCACATCCTTTATGGATACAGTTGGTGCATGGGAAATAACCACTGCAGCGCTTTTTGGATGCACGACAGGCAGTGCATGCAGTGTTCGCTCGCAGCCGATTCGCTGGATGGACCTTGGGGCGTGGCATGCTTGAGTCTACAAGTCCACGGGTCTGTTGAGATCCCCGCATATAGGGATAAGCGATAAGCGATAAGCGATAAGCGTCCGCGGCCCGACCTCGGGAGAAGGAGAAGGATGGTCATGTACGGAGTACCTTGAGGTTCTGCTATTACGTATTTTGAATAGTTAACTAGTTAGTTAACTAACTAGTTAGGCATTATTGAGTGACACATAGAATTAGAGAAATGACAAATAATCAAGTAATGCAAAATGATACAGACGAGTAGAAGAACGCCGAAGTTGAAAATTTCAATGAAGGATCCGCCCTAAGAAAATGATTGGACAAGGCGACCCACCGGAGAACAGCCAAACCAAGCAAACCAGACAAACCAGACAAATACACGACAATCTCGCTTAGCACTAGCGTGTCCGGCAGGAATATAAAGAAGCCCAAGCCCCCAGACCTTCTTCTCTTTTTCAAGCGACTCTACGTATGTTCTTCCCCCCCTATACAGCTGAAAATCATATTTTCACTGTCATCGAACATTTTGCTGACCTTTTCACAGTTCAAAGAATCACTTTAGAGTAGACGTCCCCTTTCTAAACTCTTTAAAAGAGCCACAGAATCTCCACCCTTGCTGATGACTACATGTCCTCGATGCCCTAAAGTGAAACCTTTTTACTCCCGCCTCGACTGTCACGCGTGCTGTTCGCAGTGTCTGTGTTTCGGTCTAGGGAGTGGTGATGATCTTGACCTGGTCTCGACGTCTGACTTCGGTCGGTCGGTCCTGGTGGGTGTCGAGGAGGTCTGAAAGGTCCTCTTCCTTCTTGGTAGATGGTATGTCGAGCTGTGGGGGGTTCATACATATAGCAAAAAATTACATTCATTTTTTTTAGTCATTCAGATTCGATCCTGTTCGTACTTTTTCTTAGACGTTGTAGACTGCTGCTTTGTCTCTTGACAGTACTGGCCAAACCTAGTTTTGTAATGTCCTAGACAGTTCTTCTGCTTCAACCTGACCTCTTCATCAGTTTCATAACCCTGCGACATCCTTTCGAACATTGAAATATTGGTACTGCCTGGTTCAATGAATTGGTTATGTATAGTCTATCAAATCAAATGCTTTGCCGCGGCCATTATGTAGTTATCGGTAAAACCTGTCATGCCGTCGGGTATCATGTCTCGTGAATTGCTAAAGAACTCAATGTGTAGGCCTGCCCTCACTCCGCCTCGGTGCCTCCAGTTTTCTCTGAAGCTCCACTCTTAGGTCCCTTATTCCGTGATCCACGCCCTCCACGAGATCCACGGGAGGAGCCAGCGTTACCTCCAACATTACCGCCAGCACCTGAAGTGCTTCCAGAAGCTTCCGTGGGAGCCTTAGTCTTGTTGGCAGTGAACCCCTCACGTCCCTTCCGAGACTTTTCGATTCCGGGGTTCTCTTTCCGCTCCAAGACCACCACTTGGCTCTGGGCCACCGATACGGGACTAGCAGCGATGGCCTTGCGAAGTGCTTCCGGTTCAGCAAAATCTATGTATCCGAATCCCTTCTTCTTGTCAATCTCGACCTTCGTCACTGCTCCAAATGGGGTGAATGCAGACTGCAGAAGTGCCTCGGTCACACCCTGGGATGGATTGGCGTGCTTGAGGAAGGCTTGTTTAGCAGTTGATGGGTGCTTGGATTTGCCAGCTTTAGTAGACTTGGCTGGTAAGGTTGCAGGTGGCGGTGGAGCCGCATCGGGTCGCGAGGATGACTCGCCGTCCTTGGGCTTTGGAGCATTGGTTGTGGATGATGCGGTTTTAGGAGGCCTGGTTGTTTCCTTGGACAGATCGGCTGATGGAATAGCCGAGTCTCGAGAGCTCTCGTTCTTAGGTGACGCAGTATCAGTCGAACTACCTTTCCCGCGTCGTCGCCCACCAGATGTCGATAGTCCAAGATCACGCTGAAGAATCTTGGTGGCTACTGTGACATTTCCGCGCTCTCTCTTCCGCTCTGGAGCTGCAGCTGTATCCTTTGTAGCGTTTGATGTCGTACTCGACTTGCCTCCCTTGGCATTGGCAGCGGCTCCTTGTTTGGTTGCTTTGACAGAGTCTTTGCTTGTCTTTTCTCCTTTGGGTTTCTTGTCGGAAGAGTTTGCCGAGGGTTCCTTATCGCCTCGTTGTAAAAGTTTCTTTGCTTGTACTTTTTCCTGCTTTGATTCCTTGTCCGACCGACTGTGTTTAGATTTGGACCCACTGCCGTCCTTTAACTTGCTGGCTTTCTTGTCTTTGATGAACTGTACCAGCGGGGTGGTCATTACGGCTTGCTTCTTCTTGTCCTCGCCATCAGGTGTAGAATCCACAGCCACCGGCCTGGTAATGGGCTGGGTCAGACTTTCTAAGAAAGCGATGAAGTCTGAATCTTGATCAATCGTGCCTTGACGAGCATCCTTGCGCGAGCGGCTTCCGGGGGTCTTGGCATAAGGTGCAAACTCCAGCGACGGAGGCCCCAGCAAGATGGGGTCGTGTAGAGTGTTACGGGCATCCTGGAAAGAAGCCTGGCGCACAGCGTCCGAGAGCAAAGAGACACATTCGGTGGACACGACGTGTATGTATGCTCTTGACGGGCGAGACGGTTTGTTGGGGCTATTTGAAGAAGTCCCGTTAGTCAGTCGAAATCAATACGCTTTTGCATCAGAGGAAGGTGAATCTTACTCTTTCGACACCTTGCCAGGTTTGTACTGAAGCCAGTCAACGTGCCCTGCTCCAGCCTTCCACTGGTCCCCAAGAGCACTCTCCAGCTCGGCCTGTGTTAGCCCGGGCGGCAAACGTCGAATTAGAAGTTTGAGACGTGGAGCAGGAGGCTTAGGCGTTTTCCTTGCGGGCGCTCCAGAGCCCGACTTTTGCGTAGCTGCTGCCGGAATTGGGAGTAGACCGGCGGTGGTCTTGCCAGGCTGCATTATGGCAAGCCTTTTCGATAGAGAACTGAGATTATGTTTATCTTCCCTGAAATGAAGTCCTGGAAATCCCAAAGGATGTTAAACAAGGGACCCGGCCAGCCTACTCGTCTAAAGTTGATAATCTACCGGGGCATCTACGGGTTGAAGGCGGTGTGAATGGATTGAAACTTGAGTTCTCACCGCCTAACTGGTCAGTCAGCACCATTATGTGCACGTGCCTAGCCCTGGAGGTAGGCACTCACACCAACATATATACAACCTTGATGCATACATACATACGGAGTATATGTATATATCACTTGATTCCACTGGAAGACATTACCTATCTACTCTTTATGAACTTTTTATGGCTGATCTTGTCATGAACTATCGACTAGCATGAAGACTCCGAGGTCGTGCCGAGGCTAAGCCAGCCTTATCGATAAGCATCTCCGCTCTCTTCGACCTCGCAACACTCTAGCTGTCCACAATGAGCGACGAGAAGAGCCTCGTCTTGGAGAGCCAAGCAGATACGCCAACTTCGAAGCAGAAGAATCGTCCCTTCAAGATACTTTGGTTGTTTCTCCCTATCATTGTAGCCACCGCCTGGTTCACACAGTTGCGCTCTCCTTTACTCCCCCTGAGCATTGAGGAAAGGGTGCAGAAGATCCTGTCGCAGACTCCATTGATCGGTATGGAGATTGGAGAGATAAAAACTGTGGGGATAACTCTGACTGATAGCCTAAAACAGACGGTCATGATGACCTTCCCATCCTGGTTCGGGAACTCTTCCATAACCGCGTAAATGATCGCAATTTCACTGAGGCTTTTGTCAACGGCAAATTTCCTGGCCACGTTGATATCCCCCGATTAAAACAAGGTAGAGTTGGTGGTACATTTTGGAGTGTTTTCGTGCCCTGTCCCAAGAATGGGACCGATTTCTCCGACGAGAATTATGCATCAAGTAAGAGAATTTGGTACGATGGATTTCGCACAGCATACTCACATCAGAATGATAGGCGTGCGTGAGACTATGGAGCAGGTGGATATCATGTCGAGAGTTCAACAAGCCTATCCCACGGTTTTCTCGAAGCCCCCCAATGGTACCACTGCCATGTCCGCTTTCCGCGAGGGAAAGATCATCTCACCGCTTGGTATCGAAGGCTTGCATTCGATCGGCAACTCACTGGCGCACCTCCGGATCTTCTATGAGCTGGGAGTTTCGTACGCAACTCTGACGCATAATTGCCATAATCGATATGCCGACGCCGCCATTCTCGAACTTCCAGATGGTGGAATAAAAAAGTCCGATCCTCTCTGGCATGGCGTCAGCGAAGAAGGCCAGAAGCTTGTTTTTGAGATGAACCGCCTTGGAATGATCGTCGATTTAGCTCATGTCAGCACGGAGACCATGCGTGATGTGCTGGGCGCCGGCAAGTCCGAGTGGATAGGGAGCCGTGCTCCAGTGATTTACAGCCATAGCTCAGCCTATTCGATCTGTCCCCACCCGCGAAACGTACCCGACGACATCTTGGAGCTGGTCCGTGAGAAGAACTCCCTGGTTATGGTTAATTTTGCACCAGACTTCATTTCCTGCACGGCTTCTGACCGCGCCGATGGGATCCCAGACGAGGACCCTGCTCACGCCACTCTGCAACGAGTTGCTGATCATATCCTGCACATTGGGAATCTTATAGGTTTCGAACATGTTGGAATAGGTAGTGATTTTGATGGTATCCCGACGGTTCCTCGGGGATTGGAGGATGTGTCCAGGTTCCCGAATTTGATTAAGGAGCTGCTGAAACGAGGAGTGAGTGACAATGATGCAAGTAAGGTGACAGGAGGAAATCTATTGAGGGTATGGAAGAAGGTTGACGAGGTGGCGCTCGAGATGCAGGCTGAGGGTGCATTGCCTGTGGAGGACTAGTCCTTTAAAGCACTTTGGGTTCGTTTAATTACTAATTCCTCAAAATGATGCTACTATCGAGTATTATGGACCTGAATGCACTCTGGGTGAAATTTCTCCAACTTAGCGCAGTCGACATAGGTCTTTTCTCATGTGACAGAAAATAACCACTAGGTGATGCTTTGCATCTCGAATTTTAATATTCTGATAGAGAGTGCGAGTCTGCCGCCGAAGACTCGTATATCCGCAAAGTAATCATTAGTGGTAGGAATAAGGCCAAGAAGGTCCTGAACTCAGGTAACGTCCCGATCTGTGTACGCGTGTAGTACGGCCTTTCAAACAATGGACTATGTTTACATTATAACAAGGCGAAGATATTTATCATCACTGCAGATTTATATTCTCAACCAATATCCTGTCACAACTAGTCTCTCTTTGCAAACCTCGTCAGAACATGTATCCAACTTGGTATCTGGCGAACTCAAATTGATCCTGGTTCTTCGTAAGTCACCCCCGGGAGCAATTGTATGGAGAACTGACCATTCAGCAGCCAAGGGCGATTGCTGTTTGCTGATTAGCTGATTTTCTTCAAGCGGACTCAACATCGAACACTAACCATTGGCATACAGTGCATACGAGTCAGCGTTCAACACAGCTTTTGCGCTAGTGAGGGCTGTCGCGGCGCTGTATCCGTATCCGTTATCTTCGGTTCCCGGGCTGTACACGCCAGGAGCATGGGTGAGCTCGTGGAGAGTTGTGGTTGCTTGGTCTTGGCTGTGGCATGTGCTAGTCAACGCTGGGAGCTTGCTGTAGTAGATATCACAATTGGCGATCACATTTTGAGATGGCAGAGTGTAAGCCAAGACATTGGTTTGGCAGCTATTTGTATTAACATGTGTTAGTCATATGCACGTCAAGTTTTTATCGAAAGGGGGTACTGACTATCCCAAGGTATCTTCGCAGTAGTACTTAGTGGCAGTCACCGAGCCGGCCTTTTTTGCCACAGCCTGAAGGCGAGCAGCCACGACCTTGCGTGTAGCGGTGCTGGTAGTCTTGAAGTACTCATTGAACCTATGGGACGCTATTAGAATGGTTAATTGGTAGTAGAACGCTATGCACATACTTAGTGGAAGATCCAGAAAGGGCAGCCTCTGCAGCATTGCTTGCTAGCGTCACGGTGTTCTTAAGAGCATTGGCAAGTGCAGACTTCTTGCTTGCATTACTGCAAGTTTGAAGAGCACGACGATCTAGCGGCTTGATAGCCTTCAGCACCCGGGATGCCTTGACACCGTCAACCTCGATCTTCAGATCATTGGAACGGTATGGCAGATATCCAGTGATTGTGCCATCAGTGACCAGGGGCACGAGGCCAGTGGAACGAAGAGTCAATGGGCCTCCACTAGACAAGTCACTGGTAGCGGCAATGTCAAATTCATCTTCGAAGGTCTCTCCTGCAGCGAGGGAGGTGAGGGATTCCTCAGCGAGACCCTCGAGGGCGAACCGGCGCTTGATTCCCTCAAAAGTGATTTCAGCATCTGATATTAAGTTAGCTTTGAACCGATAAGGTCTGGAGAAATTTCATATACCGTTCTTGAAGACATTGACCTTCTTTACCGGTGCGGTGTCACGGAAGAAGTTGAGATGCACAAATGTGACATCTTCGCTGCCAGAGTTCTTCACGACAGCCTTGATACGGGTGTCAGTGACACGACTCAAGGTGATATCGAGAGCAGAAGTCTCGTTGGTTTCGACTGGCAAGGCATGCACATGCTGTGCTAGAGCCAGAAGTACCGTGGAAAGGGCAGTAAAACGCATGATGCTCGGATGTCAAAAAGGTTGATTCACTAAAAGAAGATGAAGTTGTAATCCTGATATCTTGGATGCTGCTGGAATAAGAAAGATTCAATTCTGAAGAGGAGATTGCCTGCTTTATAGCCACTGGATACATGATGCCGTTTCGAATGGAATGCCGCGGTCTCCTCTCTCCTGTACACCTTCCATCTCCCCGCGTTGCCCAGAAGGATGGCGGAAGAAACAGGGTGGTTACCTCTCTGCATGAAACAATCTGATCACGCCAGAAGCCAAGCCTGCATAGGATGGACACGGGAGACTTGCGAGCAATCTTGTCACTGGTCGAATGTATCGTGAGATAACAACATCCCGGGGGCAGGCCGTCCGCAATCTTGTCACTGGTTAGAGATACATTGAGATAGCTGCATCTTCGGAAGATCATCATAGATGTTGTCCTTGGCCCGACGGAAATCCGCTCCCCTGAAGGATGGACTTTGGCGGGATCGTATGTCTGAAGGCCTATGAAGCTGCATTTGATGCCACATCACGCTTGAACAGGCGAGGGCTTGCTCGATGTAACTCCTCACGATCGGTTCTAGACAAAGAAAGACTTGGCGTTAAAAGTTGCAAGCCTATATGTAAACAAATCTTTGTGTTTGAGGTATATATAGACAGACTAAGGTATTAACTTTTGGAAGTAAGATCATTCCGTGGGGAAATATAACACAAATATATGTACACCACCATTGTTAGATTTGTGAGACACAAAGACATTGTACGGTAGGAATATCAACACAAGTTGCCTATGATATGCCCAGTAAGCGTCACGTAACGAGTTATTTCACTTTATAACTCTCCAATCTTCCAATTTCTTTCACCTCGCTTACTGATGGGTCAATCCGTTATTGCTATGTTTAAGCACCAAGGCCTGTAATGCGAAATTGGATTTCTCTATGCATTCGGACTGGCCTCGCTATGGCAAATCTTATCAATAGATAAATAGGTAGGTTGCATTCTTAACTACTAAGATGCTCCTTGAACCACTCAAGTGCTTGCAGGAACGCGCTCTGCATCGCGTATCTCACCACCGGGCTCTCGTGATCGCCTCGCACCGCAAAGCCATGCTTGACACCACCATATAGGTTCATTTGCCAGGGAAGGTTCAATTCTTTTAAGATAGCCTCCGTCTCCTGGCGCTTCTCTGCGGGAAATATGGCATCAAGCTCGGCGGCAGCAATGGCCAGCGGGCCCTTTATGCTTTTTAATTCATTCGCTTCGACGTGCGATGGGTGCGCAGTGTACCCAACGTCAATCTTTCCCGGAAGTAGGTGTCGAACGACATATTTGCCGCCGAAACAGTACCCCACAGCTCCGAGTTTCTAGTTTATCCTCAGTAAATATTGTCTTCGACAACTCCAAAAATACGTACCTTACAATTAAAGTTTGTATGCATCTCTCTGATGCAAGTCTCAACAATAGGATCGATATCTATGGGAAGATGAGCTTTTCCTTGGGGATGGTATTCTCCCATTCTCCACTTCTGCATGTCGAATTCGCCTGGTTTGTTCAGCGGTACAGGGTCACCGTGAAAGAGGTCCGGCATCATAACAAAATAGCCATTCGTCGCAAACTGGTCAGCGATGAGTTGAGCGTTTGTGAACCGGTGGCCAATGATGTCCGTGAGTCTATTCATCAGATGGTAAGTAAGCCAAGAGTAATCGGTATGAGGCCAAAATCGAGGATTATCCGCACTTACATCAGGATCCCATTCTCCGTTGACTTGTTAGGAGGGTGGCTGGTATAGACCTCGAATCCATTTAGGGTTGTGATGGTGCCCAGTGGCTTTCCATAATGTTTGCACCCTCGGTAGCAGCATGATTGGGATGGGTTGGAAGCCATTATTGGATAAGGAGGCGAGCACTGAAGGAGTAATCGCACTTTTCGAATGGATCTTTGCCCTCGGCTAGCAACTGCTTTTTTGATTCGAGCTTTCACTCAATTCAGGTGGGAGGTACCATTTAAATATTCACACAGCTAGATTTCCCGATATCGTTAATATGTCCGAGGCTCGCACGAACGAAATGACAAAGAAGTTTCTTTATCCCGGGTGGTATTTTGCTTCCCGGTGGGACCCTCAGAAGGCGATTTGGAAATCATAAGCGGAAGCAGCTATTGGGCCTAAGACCCTACTTTCGGAGTTAAAAGTATGAGCATTATCGAACCGAAATTGTTCGGGGATGAAGATAGGTCTCTTTGAATAGTCGCCGACGCTGGTAAAAGTGGGGCCGACGGTTTCCCAGGGTTCAGATAAGTCGGACTTCGCTTCCCGAACCAGCCAGCCTGTTTAAAGCCGACGGTTTCCCAGGGTTCAGATAAGTCGGACTTCGCTTCCCGAACCAGCCAGCCTGTTTAAAGCCGACGGTTTCCCAGGGTTCAGATAAGTCGGACTTCGCTTCCCGAACCAGCCAGCCCGTTTAAAGCCGGACCGAACAACGTCAAATGGAGTAAGTTCGTAGACATTAAATCCGGTGCAGTTGATATTAGGGCTGTTAAGTTCGCTTGAAAATTAAAAATATCATTTCAATTTCAATTTCAACGCTAAAATATCGTTTCATTTCAAAATGGGTGGATGCCTCAGGCGTAGACCCACTCTTAGTAATCCACCAATTAGATACCTTGAATTTTCAGAGAGCCAATAAGATTATCATAGCTTACTCTAAGCCTAATTAGGCCGAATACAGGCTCTTACCTACACCGCCTAGTATTCTTCTCAGACCACGTAGAGTGCTATAGCATAGGTCAAAAATATATTTCTGGTAATCTAGGTAAGAAAATGCTCCCTATAGCCCCTATATCTAGCCACCCCGTCCTGCTTCAGGTACTCTTGTACGAGGCTGAACTATACGCCGACGACGTCTAATTATCCCACCCTACATCTCTAGAAGACTTGCAGTCGAAGAGTCGCTCTAAGCACCACGATCGCCAGCACTACCATCGCCAGCACTACCATCGCCAGCACCACCATCGCCAGCACCACCATCGCCAGCACTACTATCGCCAGCACTACCATCGCCAGCACTACCATCGCCAGTACCACCATCGCCAGTACCACCATCGCCAGCACTACCATCGCCAGCACCACCATCGCCAGCACTACCATCGCCAGCACTACCATCGCCAGCACTACCATCGCCAGTACCACCATCGCCAGCACCACCATCGCCAGCACTACCATCGCCAGCACTACCATCGCCAGCACCACCATCGCCAGCACTACCATCGCCAGCACTACCATCGCTAGCACTACTATCGCCAGCACCACCATCGCCAGCACCACCATCGCTAGTACTACCATCGCCAGCACTACCATCGCTAGCACTACCACCGCTAGTACCATCGGTACTACCGGTAGGAGTATAGGGACCATCATTATCATCATTGCTCTGGTCGTTACTCTCGCTATCTTAATGGTTTAGCGGGTTTATAAAGGGACTATATCGCTGCGCGCGAGGACCAGCCTCTAAATGATCTATAGGGCAGCGTACGCGGTGGAATTTCCTTCCCTATCGTTACCTAAAGCGGGCATTACAGCTAGCGATACCTTTAAGTCGGTCACAGAACCAGCCTACTGAGGTATAGTCACCTCTATGGCCAGGCTTAAGCGCGAAACGCAGTTAATACCATTACCTCAAAATTACTAGGCGTATAATCGCATTCTTACCCGCCACAATTCCGCTATATTCCCTTCGGCCTATCGTTGGTAGCTCAAAGTACCTAGTATAGAAGGTCCGGAAATGTCGATATATAGCGGATGGGTTATCGTATACCATACCATACATCATATCGCTATCGCCGGTGATAACTAGGCAGATACCCTAGTTAACTTTATTCCATTTGAGCATTAGGTTCGGCGGTCTATCACCAGAAGAAGGGCAAGCCTAAGCTCTCTGGATAAGACTTTAGGCGGACGTTATCCTGTTTCTAGGCGGAGTTGGTAGGCAGCTGGCTTCTAACCTGGGTTGGGGTCTCGTACTGGGCCTATATATGTTTAGTATATGTTAGGAAGATGTAAGGTTTTTGACTTACCATGGGCGTATCCCCATACTGGATGAGGGTTATTGTAATGAGTGTAAAGCGTCCTCACGACTTGTATAACTAAAAATTTACTGCCAGTTTTTCTGCCGTTTTTTTCTGCCTATATTACAATACATTACCAATATATTACTAGCGCCTTGGCGTGAAACAATTGAAAATATATTTTTAATTTTCATGAAAATTAAAAATATGTTTTCAATTCAAGATTTTGAAATTCAATTTAACAGCCCTAGTATGCACTCACCCTAGTGTCTGGGACAGTGATTGTACCAATTGTGGGTGGAGCAATTGAAGTCATAAATCTTGATTGGAGGTGGACTGAATATATAAGTTTGTTCCGGTGCACTCGGCCTACCAAAAGCAATGTGTTATAACTAGATCGCAGATTACTGGAATAATTATGGCCCTCTCATTAATATTAGGGGCCATCTTCTTGGACGAAAGTTATCCACCTGTGCTGTTGGTCTACAAGAGCCGCCAACTTCGTCTACGGTCCGGAAATTGGGCACTTCACGCCCAACATGAAGAATGGGATGTCACTTTAAGCGAGCTATCAAGCAAACATCTGGCACGACCATTTCAGTTGTTAATGACGCCAATATGTTTTGCTATCGCTCTATACGCCTCTTTTGTCTATGGGGTTCTCTATCTCAGTTTGGCTTCATTCCCGATCGAGTTCTAAGAGCTCCGCGGTTGGAATCCGCTAGTCGGGGCTTTGCCATTTCTAGGTCTTCTTTTCGGGTTCTTCCTTGGTGCCGCAGTTAATATAACCAACCAGAGATTTTACAGTCAACGATTCCAAGCGAACAACAATCGTCCCGTTCCCGAAGCCCGACTCCCACCTATGATGATTGGTTCAGTCTTTTTTGCTGCAGGCTTGTTTATATTGGGTTGGACTAGTGAGCCGCATATATTCTGGTTTGGCCCCATCTGCGGTGCTGTATCAACAGGGCTTGGCTTCTTCACCATTTTCCAAGCCGCATTGAATTATCTGATTGACACATTTTCTGAATACTCCGCGAGTGCTATTGCAGTCAATACTTTCCTACGGAGTATATTTGCCGGCTGTTTTCCAATCTTTGCGAATGCGATGTTTCATAAGCTGGGAACAGCTTGGGCATTCAGTCTTTTGGGATTTGTTGCCGTCGCTCTCATTCCGATTCCATTTGTATTTTATATATATGGCCCACAGATCAGAGCCAGAGACAGATGGTCCAAAGTATCCGTTTAGCACCTGATCCGAGAAGTGAAATTTTAATCCTTGAAATAGGGTAAAAGCCGCCATCATCCATCTGCTGTAGCGCTCAACTCATATCAGCTTCGAGCGATGAACCTGTCTTGCTCCCAATCGCTCTCGTTTACTTTGTCTTGTCACAAACCAGGTAGATTACCAGAATGGACAATGAAAAAGTAAAGGTCTGATAGAAAAAGCGTGCGGATATAGTAAAATGTGCAATATAGATATTTGCATAAGCCTCCGCAAGATGGATCAACTGTTTGTCCTATAACGGACGCTGCAGAATTTTAGGTTTTCCTTAGATTGCAACTAGTTTATGCCAATTGTTTCACTTGATTACTCCTTCCCAAGCTTGCACGAGACGAGACTTTACTTATTTATTTTAGGCTGAGCGGTGAGTAACCTCGGTTGGGACAGCTACCCAAAAAAACAAGTAAAATTTCAGAAGCGCCGGAAGCGCCAGTAGCCCAATTTTTCGGAGGGATGGAGATCCTACACTAATTCCTTCTCGGGTGGACTTTCATGGAGTTAGAGAAGGTGAGCTAGGCGAGACAAGCTGAGCGAATACAATCCAAACCACGTGCAAAGTAGCATTTCTCAGAGCAATGGCGATAACATCCTTGTGGCTAGCCAGCATGTCATTGAATTTCGAAATGTTTTCACCTCTGATTGTCAAGGAAATGTAGGCGCCAAACGTTGTACCTCAGCGTTCTACCGATTTTGAGATTATTTCCAGTTCTTAGCAGACTCCGCAGCATTGTCTGAGTTGGAAATTCAAAACTTTCAGCTCATGCTGGTATTCTGCGGCCACACGATGAACCCAGCCAAGAACCTGACAGAAGGCCTGAAGTCCTTTCTTCAACTTTCGAACATCTTTTTTGCTTGTTTGAAAGTCATCTATCACATTGCGTGGTGACAAAAAGCTCTGCAAGGCAAAGCCGGCAAGGAGCAGAATACTCGTGGTCACGGAGAGAGGGTCGACCATGCTTGTTAACGCTGAAGCTCAGGGAACAAATTGATAGAGACATAAGAACAAATAATGCTTTTTTAGATTGAAGGTAAATGATGACGACAAGCAGTGAATCAACATTGTCTACGACTGGCGTTCCGGGAAAACTATATGTTCCTTCAATTAGCCCAGTGAGCATGGTCGTGGTCCTCGTTTTCTCCAATCCAATTTCTTGGAGAAAAAAAGGAGGAGCCGGCTTGGGCCGGCTGGCAATGGCCCAATCCCTCAGGAAATTGCGGCAGCAGCGGGCAGTAGCAGAAACTAGAAGAGACAGCATGAAGTCAGACCAAGTTAGTTAGGATCGAAATAGGCACCCAAATTATCGATGCTGTTCTAGGCGAAATTCGGGATAAGCGTGAATCTCGGAGGAAAGACGCGGCCACGTTAAGTCGGATTTCGGATATAAGCGGTATACCGAGCAAAAAGACCACAAATGAGGAAGTGAACTCCGAGTGTGGCTGCTGTATTGAGCGAGACTATATAATATGATAGATTCCTATTGATAGGACTGAAATTGCCTGCCCTTTACAGCTCTCAAAGTCGAACGAGAAAATACCTCGGTCATTGAAAATGGGGAAGAACATTCGTTTAACCTTTGCATGCGGTCCTTACGACCGTATGGATCCTCTAGCTAACAAGGCTGTCGACCCTGTCGGAATTGATCTCAACTACATCACGATTAATCATCCGCGGGAAATCTTTGACCGGATGATCAGAGGCATGGAGTTCGATTTATCTGAAATGTCCAGCTCGGAGTATGTTTGCCGATACGCGGCTGGTGAACGAGACTTGGTTGGCATTCCTGTGTTTCCCTCGAGGGCTTTCCGCCATAGTTGCATCGTGGTCAACTCAGACATTATCTCAAGCCCATCCGACCTCAATGGCAAAAGGATAGGTGTCCAGGTGTACACTATGACCGCAGCTGTTTGGATTAGAGGGGTTCTGCAGGATGCAGGAGTCGATCTATCTACGATTACTTGGATTGAAGGAGACCTAGTCAAACCTGGTTCCCACGGTCAACCCAAGACAAAGCCGCTGCTCCGTCCAGTGTCCCGAGTCCCAAATGAAAGCCCGAAGTCGCTCAGTCAACTTCTTGAAGAGGGTGAGATTGCAGCCACAATTGGTGCTCACGCTCCGCCATGCCTCGCAAAAGCATCCCATATTCGACATTTGTTCCCGAATATTCGCGAAACCGAGAAAGAATACTACCAGAGGACTGGAATCTTCCCTATCATGCATCTTGTCGTCATCAAGAGAGCGGTTGTGGAAAAGCATCCTTTCGTCCCGCGGAGTTTATTCCAGGTGATGAATGAGTCCAAAAACATTGCTCTGCGTTCGATGAGACTTGCGTCAACTTATCGGTATATGTTGCCGTTCCTCTCATCCGACCTCGAAGAGATAGAACAACTATTTGGTGGTGATCCATGGCCTTACGGAATCGAGTCTAATCGCACAGTTTTGGAAGCGCTGGTGAACTTGCTGTATGACCAAGCTATGATTTCTCGCAGGATTTCACTTGAGGAGTTATTTCCATTCCCTTGTGAATAAGCAGTCTATGTAACTAGCGAGAATTGTACTAATTCAAATCCCTGAATGAGGCGATTTGGGCCGCAGCAAGGAGAATAGTAGATAGCAGAAACGAATCCAATGGTAGATCCTAGATGTGCCATATGGTGTACAAGGTACCGCGATCGGCACAGGTACTAACGTTCGCCCGTATCTGTTGACTTGTTTCCTGCATCAAAGCGCCGTCTCGAGAAGATGTGCTATGATGTTCTCTAATGCGTATGCGTACAACTCCCGGGTTTGTCGAATAGAAGCATGATTCGGTAGACCCTAGAGAAACAGCGAATACGCCCGAGGGCTTAGAGTAAAGGTGCAGGGAGTTTTCCCCTGCGGTGCTGTACTCGGGTCAGGATTTACAATCGAAAATCCATCCCGTGCGCGATATCCTCAAGCTAGCCGTCCAGTTCCCTGTGTGGCGGTCAGGGCTGCCACATTCTATCGTGGCTGTTGACATCTACCGCCCAGGCTTATAGGCAGCGCTGGCCACAGGCTATGCAGACGGGGTTGCTGGCCGAGGGGAGCATCCCTTCGTGCATAAGCAGTCGGCAGCGGCAACGAAAATGGACGGGCGGCGAGCAGTCCTTCGATCAATTTGTTTAGGAACATGTCGCGTAGGTTATTCAGTTTTGGCTTTCGTGCGACTGCTAGGATGGGCCCAAACGCCCGTTGTGTCGAGATTGCGGCTCACCGGCATCTCACGAGCCCGGCAAGGTATAGGCAGCAAGGCTAGGCACGATGGGGTCTGGTAATGGTTCGGGCTGGCGATGTCGATAACGGTTTTTTGGGGGACATTTCGGTCGCGGGCTTGACCGTCAGAATCGTTTGCGGCGAGAGCGCTGCTTCGAGGATGAGGAAGGAGGTAATAGGGTGATTTGGGCGGGTCAAGCAGAGTAGACTAGTGATGCAAATAAAGCGAAGTTGCTGAATTGGTCGACAACCTAATACAGTTGGGATTTTCTCGGGCAACTTAGCATTCTGCGAGATGTATCCTTTGTAGATGGCTCGAGAAATCGCGTGGAGAGTGGACTGAGACGCTAGGGTCGCGTCGATGACGCGCCTGGTCGGGATTCACGTGACGGGGATTGTCTGTTGTCTGTCTCCGCGGACTGACCAAATGAGATCGAATTTACTAGCTGTTCGGTTGCAATTGGATAGGGCTGGCCGGTCTGATCTGCCATGTAAAGTCCAAAATGCTGAAAGCTGAGCCGGTCATGATGCACGGAATGCTGCACGCCTGCCCTGAAGGGCGTACACGCTGTTCGGGTCTGTCCTGAATTGCCGTTCCTCACAGAGATTCCGGTCTATCTGCTACCTCGTCCATAATCACTTCTCTCGTAGCTCTCCACGCCAACCACAGCGTTCTGTCATGTGATACCCTTGTCGCCAAACACAGAAAATCCTCTATTTTTCAATCATGCAAAAAACTGCGTGTTGATTTTTGGAATCTTGAATTCGACTTTCTTCAGCAGAATCCAAGCTGAACCCCTTGCGTCACGTGATGAACTTACGGCCGCGGCGTACTAGAGTTTTCCGGAATTCGAGAAGGCCAAGATGCGCCAATTGGAATGTTGCTCTCTTTTCCCCTTGCCGCTGCTCTCGCACGCCTAGAATCCGCTCGATATTTCAAGAGACGGCACGAGGTTTGCTTGAGACCGCAGGGGAAAAGATACACTTTTGTGCTTGGTCCGCCGACAGCTGGCGCAGGGTGCTGAAGTCGAACACGCTGATTACAACCGTCCGTTTTCTCGTCTGAACTCTTGCCTGCCGTTGTACCAGCCTCAGCTTCGCCGTCGCGTGTATTCCTTGTAATGGCAGCCGTCGCATGCTCCGAGGCACGTGTCGGGTGGATGATCGTGGGAACGAAGAGAGTATCATATGGCATACCGGGCTTGACGTAGTCATCGAAGTCAACATTGAAGTCGGGACGGTCTGCACCGGGACTTTATGGAGTCTCGCAGATCGGCTTGCTTCGATCGCGGATCTTTGGACAAAGTGCAAGGGCGTGGATCCGGGCAAGGACGTGCCTCCGATGCGGTGTAAATCAGTGTCATCGTTTAGGCCGTGCGTGTTATGGGACTTCGGTGAAAAAGACGTATCAGAGAAGCGAAGAAAGACTGCCCGCCTGAGATCGTGAGGTAGAGGTCACTCGACCTCGTTTCGCTGAAAGGAGTCGGGGAAATTCGCTGGCATTGAGCCGCTTGTCATAAGGCAATATATCATATTGTCGGTGCTCATTGTCGGCTCACCACGGCTAATCGATGGAAGGTCGAGTGGTGTCTCGAGGACGTCTCGATCGGGAGTGGCCGCATGCTCAATAACATGGCCAGGCAGATCGATCGCGTCGCGCGGCAAGGCGGTGAGGGTTTGCACGACGCGCTGTACATGCTCCTACTGGGCTCTAGTTCTAGAAATTGGCAGGGACATTTACAATGGAGTTACATTAAAGTATGCGAAATCAGAAATAAAATTAAGCAGGAATTGCGTGTATATATACTCGGTACTGAGAGAAAGATTCAAAATAGTACCAGGCAAAGTAGATGCGCGCGGGAACCAACCACATCCACCAAATACCCGCATGTCACCGTATGTAAACTTGGTTGAGCCCTGAACGCCCTCCCCCATGGGATAGCCCTCGGTCCGCCGTCTACTAGGGTATATGTTCACCTCCTGCTGGGCCATTGCTAGAACGACTGGACGGCGATCCGAAGAAGTCGAGACATGCTGGAAGCTCCCGAATAATAGCTGTGGAATCGTTGTTGGCTTCTGACGAGATGGGAATTCAAGGTCGGGATCCACCCCGAGCAGCTGGCAGATCCGGCCGGGTGTGATCTGGGGCGGGCCCCGCAGTACCGGCGTCCAGGGCCGGTGGAATGAGACCCACAGCGTGCTGATGCGTGCTCCGGGCCGCCGTGCTCCGGGCTGCCGTGCACCGTCTTGCTCGTCGAGGCCGGCTAGGGAACTGAAAGTTCCCTGCTGCATCACGGAGGGTTCCGGCGCAGCCCTCGACTTGTTTCGGGCTCCGACACTGGCTGGACACGAGGAAGCGACCGGGCAGGGAGGAGCCTCGGGATGCGACGCAGAAGGCGAAGGAGGAGGCAGCGGATCGACGGGGGCGGCTGGGACGATCAGGCGCGTCTCGACGGGCCGAGGAATCAACAGTCCGTGCGGATCGATCACGCAGCCTATCTCCTCCCCCTGCTCGGGGCGCAGCATGGCCGGGACTATATCGTCGGTCGGCATGTCGAGCATGGACAACTCGTTCAGCCGGTCATGCGCACTAGCGATATCCCCGGGAATCACGCCGGGCCGCCGCTTCTGGCCCTGTTTCCCGTTTGTGCAGCGCAGGAAGGCGACCCAGTTCACCCAGTGGCAGAATTGTGGCCAGTCCACGACTCGTGCGGCGAGGAAGGCACACTGCTTGGCAAAGGTGGTGCCGTAGCCGATCTGCTGCAACCGCGCGACGGCACTCCACTCAAACCTTTTGTGTTTCTCAGTCTCGCGGGCGCGATCGACCGCAGTCCGGATGGGCAGCCAGACCGATTTGTCGTCCGCGCTATACGTCTCGAACATGGCCGTGCACTCAAAGATGGCGAACCATTCCATGATGGTTGCGTCGAGTGTCTCGGAGAGCTTCACGAACTGATCGGCGTACTCCATGCAGAGGCTGTACTGCTTTGCGGGGTTGCCCTCGAGCTTGGTGAAGCTGGTTCGGAAGGTCGTGAGCAAGCTCAGGATCTTCGCCGGCGCTCGGGGGGAACTGCTAGATGGGAGACGGACAGTACGGTGCTGGGCTCCTCTATGACGAGTGGGTGGGCTACTCTTCTGGTGATGGTTCTCCCCTGGACTCTCTCTGTTGTTCTTTTTCCTCTCTGTCAGCTACTTCGAGTTTGCATCCTGTGTCATTCTCACATCTAGTAAAGGCAAAAAGGTACGCAACTCTTTCCCACCAGATTATGGGGCCTCCGAGATCTCTTCTGGTAATGGGCTTAACCCGGGGGGTGTGGTTGTGTATGAGAGTGTGGTGGGTGGTGTGGGTGTTGGTTGGGAAGTGAGAGAAGAGAGAGAATATTTTCCTCAAAGAGAGAGAGGGAGGGAAAAAAGCCCGACAGGAGAGAGTAATATTCCCCTCCAAATACATTCATACAATACAACATCGAACTTTTGAGTACTCAACATAACGAGAGAGACAAGGACAACTCCACGGACAATATATCTTAATACACCACAACCCGAGTCCGAGGTAGGAGAATCTGTGCAAACAGCTTCTAAAGTAGAAAGTCATTTTGCTTGTGTGTGGTGAGTATATAAGCTGGGCCTTTTCATTTTGTCCCTTTCTTCTGTCGAGAGGGCAATCACCGGGAAAGAGAGAGAGAGAAGGTATTAGCCTAGGACGTATATAAAAGACCACACACATACACATACTCCAAACAGGCCAAGGCATTCTCACACTCTCTCATCTCTCTCATCCCATCCCACTGTTATCCTCTCGGACCCCACACGACGCAGAGGAAATACAAAAACCAAATATCAACAAGAGTTACTCCCCCGTCGATGGGTTTCACTGCGTGCGGGTCACCAACAAAAAGGTCGGGTGCCACTCACGACCGTTTCTTTTTTGGCGTGTGTGGTCATGAAACGGCCAGTCGACCTCGGGCATTGCGACTTCGAACTCTCCCCTCTGGGGCTTCACTTCAGCGCAACCGCATACTTCACTGAGGCAGCCACTGGAACCGGGCCCAGCCTCGGCCACACAACGATCAGCTTCAGCCAATGGATAGACCTTCGAACCCTCTGGGTGTCCCAAGCACCACAGCTGGAACTCCGTCTCTTTGTGAGCTTTGATCCGATGATCAAGGCCGCTGAACCCGCGTTTGCCACCGAGCTGGTCCGAGAAATCGGCCTTCCAGAGGTAAGCGGCTCCCTCCGTCGGTCACTTTCTTGCTCGCGCTCAATCGTGCTTCCCGGGGGATGAGGCCCTTCCAAGTGATAACCCTGAGGGTATTAGGTCTGGTCCGGCCCAGGTGCTCACAGCATGCCTGGCTTCGGTGAATATACGTCTCGAATATACGAGCTGCAATACCACGCCACAGCCAGAGAATTGCCTCGTACAAAAGTCCCTGGAGCTATTGCGTTGCGGCCTCCGGAAACTGTTTCTATCGGGCGCGCCCCCGAGCCATGATCCCAGGCCACTCGGCAATGGGAGGCTGCATAAGTTACCCTCACTCGCGCCGGCAGCCTTTGAGCCGAGGTATTGTGAGGTGCGTTATCAGGGGTAGATTATGATACAACCACGGTACATATGCTGATCGGATATGAAGGGAATGGAGCAAAGGGCTGTATCACTCGCTCCAATTACAACCTCCCTCCTCTCAATGCTCGAGAGTCATGAAACCTTACAGCAGATGCTCGTGATGAGACTGATAAGGCCCACCGACCGGGATGGATACGTAACACCGGAATCCGCATACGGAGACACACCGGCGAGCAAAGCCACAGACCATTTGGGATGCCTGATAAAAGCCACACTGTGGAAGATTGCCCAGCACCAACTCGCGCGCCTCAAGACCCGCAAGACGGCTATGCCATTTTTCAGGTTACCCATTGAGCTACCAGAGCCGTCAATCCATCCGGACGACGACGACGATATGCCCCCATTGCTCCTGTCAGAGGAAGAATTTGATTCTGAAGATTCTGAAGATCGAGGCGATGGCGACGACGCCAACGGGGATGATGACGATGACGGTCTGTGAGGAAGGAGGAGTATGTTGAAGAGAGTAGGTTTGGATGCTGTAGCCCTCGGGCTCAGCCTTATGCTGAGTCAGCGATCCCCTAGATAGCTCCCGACAACCGGGCAGAGAATACATCATCATTATCTTCCCCTAAGCTCACAGTCTTACAGATGCGGAGGAAATGAACATCTGCGCCAACTAGGCAGTAAGAATTGATTGTTGGAGACTCAAGGATTTGAATAACCCCTGATCGAAGGAGTACTTTGTACTCACCCCAATACCACTATCTGCAAGACAAAAACAATATTGAGCAATACAGTTCTTTCGCGGTGAACAAGCGTGATTCCTCAACAGAGTAATGTAAGTGGCCTGCCGAGGTCGTAAGTGACTACATATATCATATGACAATGCAGCACCAGGGGTCTAAGTTTATCAGATCAGATGAATTACTAAGCTCTTCTTGCTGGGCTCCTTGCGGCATAGGTGACGCTACTAAGAGGAGCCATTGAATCAATTAGCGGCTAGTCAAGAGGGTTATATTCGCACATTTCCTATTCTATCGCTTATTTCTCCTCTAATAACCGCACTCGGTCGCGGATTGCAAACTTCCACTCCTTCGCTACCTTATATACTAGCAGCAATCCTAGTACGAAGAGAGGGCTGAACGAGGCCACAATTGCTGTGACGCTGATCCAGACCGCCGCATCCATCGGCCAAGTGGTGCCAGGGTCTACTCCCACAGAGACGACGACTTGTAATCCGCTCAGAACCATAGAAAACAAACCGATCACAAATAAGATTGGCCCATAGAAACGCACGAAGTAGGTCCTATACTGGTACTCGGCTCTCTGGAAGTCCGACTTGCCAAGGACAATTGGGCCATAGAAATTTAGCTGCATCAAATAAATCTCACCGTTTACATAATGTAAGGAGACATCCCGGTCTGGGATGCCGGCTAGGCTCGACTTGAACTCGCAAAACTGCTCCTAGGTGGTGTCCCGCGGGACAAGGCATAAGCTAGGGTCCTGCGTAATGCGCAAGTCGGACTCGTGTAGTCGGTGAAGGATTCTGCCTAACCCAGCGATCCAATCAAACATTTGAGCTCATGATGTTGCTGAACGTCTAGGGAAGAAGAGAGAGGATACCAGAGGGACGCCTACCATCGGCTGGCCTAGCGAGGCAAACGGCGGCGGCCTGGAACCTGCTATCTGGGTAATAGGGGCAACATGGGCGATCATGGTCTATCACCGTATGGGGGCTAATGCTTACTACTTCTGTATTCAAGGAGAGCGTAGTGTATCAAGCCGTGCTGGTTCGTTATGAAACTCACTAAAGAGTCTAAAAATAGAACATAGAGGCTAGCAATCCATAAAAAAACCCCCTAACACCGGCACCGCGGAATTATGTAAGTTATCGAGCGAAGGAACCCTGAAGGTCAGTTTGACTGACTAATCTCGGATTTGGCGGCAGTAAGGGCAAGCAGTACACCATCGCCTAGCTCAGCAACGCGAAAAGAGAAAATAGGAAGATGCAAGTCGTGTGAGACTCAAAAGAAACAGTGGTCCCAGTCCCACTCCGTAACAACGGCCGCGATAGTCCCAAAACGTCTCCTTTCATCAGCCCCTATGGTCTTTCGGAGGTGTCTGGCCTCAAGCGACACCGCTGCCTGGGACCACCGCCTTCACAACGTCAGAAAGGGTCACTGAACTGCTTCCGATTAGGAACGGTCTGATCGACTTCCGACGAGACAGGATCTGATAGGTTCTGCCGTTGTCGCCTGACTGATCGAAGGAGGATTTTTGCGGCGCGGATTTCATCTGGTAGAATAAATCCCCCCTTGATCATAGGGTTGGGATGGTTGAGGTCAGGGGGAAGATCCGCTGAGTTCCGCTGGCATTCTCCGTCTGGCCAGACCGTGATTCCTAGTTGGAAATTCTGAAATAAGAGTGGGCGGCACTTTTCATGGACACGGCCAATGCACAACACGCTTCCAGAGAAACCCCGCGCATCGACTTGATCTTCATCAGTTCTCCACAGAATGCTAGCAGAAGAATCAACGGCATTCTGAATCCATATATGCCCATGGCCCTCGAGGAGAGCCGCCCGGATTTGTTCGTTAGGAATATCCCCGAGCAGGCGGCCGTGTTCATTATTGATATAATCGAAGACACAAGCAATCATCGGTGCTCCCTGGATCGCGTCTTTATATGAAGCCCATTCTGGCACCATCTCAATTCCCTTCGGTGGGTGAATATCAATCAGGTTATTGCCGGTAATAAGGGATAGGTCGTGACGGTAGCCGGAGGGGTATGGATACGTGCTGCTTGGGTCATCATATGTCCGCGTGATAAGTCCGACCTGTTTCGTTAAAAGACTTCATTCAAGGATGGGTCCGTACTCACCCTACGGTTGGTGCCCGCTAGCCAGCACTGCTTACCGATTTGGCTCGAGGAAAGGGGGCTAGGCGTAGTGCTGACTTCGACCTCCCGATTCTGGAGCCGTAGAGGGATTTGAAACCGTGTGAGAGACTGTGTGACTCGCTTGTAAAAAGAGGCAACGCGGGTAAAGAATGTAGGGGGCCCTGGGAGTCTTACAAAGGCGTGGGTAGGGACGGTAATAGCCTCCGTGTGGTCAGGAAGCCGGATCTTGAGGCCCAAAACGCCACAGACCTCGTACGCATTTGACATGCGCGCAAGCTGCTGACCAGACTCCGCTGTTGCCGCCGACGGTTGCATTGCCAGAACGGTATACCCGACTGTCAGCCTGCCAACGGTCGGAGGGGTACCGAAGTTCCATGTATGCAACATGTCATCCCGACGGCTGAAGAGGATAACCACACACTCAACCTGGTAGATAAACGCTCCGATGGACCTCGGAAATGCCGCCCTTAGGCACTTAATGTCTTCTGGCGTAAAAGCCTGCCGGACGTCGACGTCCCGGCGGATAGGATCCGAAATGATATTGCAATACTGCATATCGTGATCTACTGGAGACTCAAATGCAGGTTGGATATGGATTTCTCGACCGCCAGCTTTAATGAAAGGCACATGGCTATTTTCCGGCACCACCCAAATGTCCTTGCCTGAGTCCTTCTGGGTCAGGACGCAGACAGCTCTCTGAGATGAGAAAGCCGGGTGGTAGGTTCGGAAAAGCTGCTCATTTTCCTGGGTGATCTGCGGCTCAATAAGAGCGCGAGCTTCGGCTACAGAACGAGAGCCCCACAAGGTCGAGGTTGTCCCTAGTTACCAAGGTTAGCACCATCGCAAGTTCATAACCAGCCTCAAATAAAACTAATACTCACGATGGACCTGGCGTAACTGTCGACCTCGGTATTGAATAATCTGGGAAACCGGTCGGGGATGCTCTTGAACGCACGAATACGTCGCCATGGTCGGTAACGTAAGGAAAAGGAGGTGGGTGAAGCGATGAGAAAGGGTAGAAGGAATCTCTCCTGTACCAACGGGCTATCGACGAAAAGTTCCACAACTGCTGGCACGATATGTTTTCTGATACTGAGGAGCGGTGTATTTGTTAGTGAAGGGAGAGCGGCGGGGGGTCATTGGAGCTAGGTAAATCGGGTCAATGAGAAGCTTCCAACCGAAGAATGAAGCAGGAGCAGGTACGTAGATATCACGACGAAAGAGGTCTAGCGCCTAAATTACTGTCGGAACAGCAGCATAGGTGGATCCCCGGAGGCAGGAGATAATATCTTCCGTCAAGATTAGTCATGCATTTGAGCCCATCTACATTGCCAGTTAAGGGGCGGTGTGGGTGGGCAGAAAGGCACAGATATACCCTGCACCAGCATGACCCACTGAGCAGTATTCCGATTCTCAGCTAACCATTCTACAGCCGCCCCGCGCCATATTGTTACATTTTAGCTATTACTCTTCATTTCCTAATTATATATACTCCTACTAGGCTCTAGTTCTAGAAATTGGCAGGGATATTTACAATGGAGTTACATTAAAGTATACGAAATCAGAAATAAAATTAAGCAGGAATTGCGTGTATATATACTCAGTACTGAGAGAAAGATTCAAAATAACCAACCACATCCACCAAATACCCGCATGTCACTGTATGTAAACTTGGTTGAGCCCTGAACGGCCCTCCGTCCACTAGGGTATATGGCCGTGACGAGGCTCTAAGTTAGTGTCAGGAAGTGGACCATTCTATATGTACATACTTGGATATATAGTTGTCGTATACTGCATATCGCTTCGGCGAGGGGCCAGTGTAAATGAATACTACCACCACCACCCTGTAAGAGCCCTGAGAGAGTCAGAAAACTTGTAATCTCCCATTCCCACCTGGACTTACTAATTCCCGCAGCTCGGCTGGGGCCGGGTTCCTGAACCTGATCTGGATTCCATCACCAAGGAGGAAAAATAATCCACCAGCAATTGACAGAACTCTGTCAACAATGCCTACCTTGATCAAGAATAAGTCCCAATACACTTAGACTTCCCCGACCGACGGGATCTTACTGGTCTATCCTTCGTCCATCTTAGCGATCTTCTATAAGTGCCATTTTCATTGATTTGAACGGGTTTCTGCCTGGACAATAAAGTGATCCCCGGGGCTTGCCAGGTAATTCAGTGGATCTGGTTAAGCGCCAATCAGCTTCCAGTTTCTTCCCAGCCTCACTTTGTTGCATTACCCCTCGTTTTGAGGGGCATGAGCTTCCTTTTTGTCTATATTCTTCGCAACGTCTCACCTTTGGGTTGATATATTATCTATGCAGTATAAAGCTTATCGATCATGGATCCTCTTTCAGGCGCAGCAAGTGTTATTGCAGTCATCCAGTTAGCCGGGAGTATCTTCCACATATGTGGGCGATATCTCAATAACGTCAAGAATGCGACGCGGGAGATTCAGCGCTTCCAAGAGCAGATTGCAGCCCTGGCCAAAGTTCTTCAATCTCTCTATGAGCTGATCCAGAGATCAAATGGCAACACACTTACTACTACGGCTACTGCGCAAGACTTAGCTAACAATATTGCAAAATGCTCATCAGTACTTGGAGATTTGAAAGTGAAAATCGACCCAGAAATAACGCAACAGGGATTGCGGAGACAATGGGGACTTCGAGCCTGGAAATGGCCACTGGCACGGTCGGAGGTAGATTATACCCTCAAGGAATTTGACTGGTATAATGCAACGTTTTCTTTGTCCTTACAAGTCGGTCAAGCGTATGCCCCGGACCATAACCAGATCTTTTTATCAAGGACCGACTCTGACTCTGGCTTAGGAGCTCTATGAATATAATCCACCAAAAGATAGACCTTAGCAGGCTACAGCCTGCAAAGGGAGCAGCATTTGATTCCTACGACAATCAACATAGTGAATGTCTCCCGGGAACTCGAATTGACCTGCTTCGAGAAATTGAAGAGTGGACAAAATCGCCGTATAGAAAATATATATTCTGGTTAAACGGCATGGCAGGGATAGGGAAATCAACTATCTCCCAAACAGTTGCAACCCGTCTTAAAGAAAAGCAGGTTCTCGGCGCGAGCTTCTTCTTCAAGCGAGGTAAAGAGGACCGAGGAACAGCAAAGAAGCTCTTCCCGACATTGATTAAGCAACTGGCCATTAATCTACCTCAAATACTTCCTAAAGTTCAAAAGGCAGTTAATAATAACCGCAATATTTCAGAAAAGGTATTAAGAGACTAATTTGAAAAGCTTCTACGGGATCCACTATTTGGACTTGACTAGCGCAAAGAGACTATAACCAGAGTGATTGTAATTGATACTCTAGATAAATGCGATTCAGAAGACAACATTAGGGTTATTCTTCAGCTCTTACCACAAGTTCAAAGGTCGACGTCCGTGCAACTACGGTTTTTCTTAATAAGCAGACCTAAGTTACCGACCAGGCTAGGCTTCTAAGGGATTACCGATACCCATCAGGATTTGGTCCTCTATGAGATCGATAAACCAGTAATAGAGCACGACATATCCTTGTATTTTAAGGATCAGTTACACCACCTAAAACAGAGGGACTCACTTCTACTAGACTGGCCTAGAGACACAGCTAGGAAGGAGCTGACTAATAGGTCCGTCCCTTTATTCATTGCAGCTGCTACCTTATATCATTTCATCAGTGATACGAATTGGAGCCCTCAACAACGACTTAAAGCAATATTGAAAGACCAATCAGCCTATATGTCCAAGATAGACATCACATATATCCCTGTGCTAAAGCAGCTTCTCACTGGCCAGGATAAAAGGGAGTCACAGCAATTGCTCAAAGAGTTCAAAGATATAGTCGGGGCTATTATTACTCTTACTACTCCGCTCTCGATCAATTCCCTTGGCTAGCTATTAGATAGAGACTCAGACGATATTAAACGTCGATTAAACCGTCTCTACTCGGTGCTCAGTATACCAAATGATCTTGACACACCCGTCAGGCTTCTCCACCTATCGTTTCGAGATTTTCTTCTACAAGATCACAAAGACAAAAGTGAATTCTAGATTAACGAGAAATACGCGAATCAGCGTCTTACGGATCGATGCTTTCAGATCATGCAGCGCAGCCTGCGTAAAAACATTTGTGATCTACCAAACGAAGGCGTGGAATGTAAAGACATGAGTAAGGATTCAATTCGGCATTATATAACTCCGGAACTGAAATATGCCTATCGGTATTAGGCACATCACCTGGTGCAATGCATTGGCTTGACTGATGTGATTTACGATGCTTTCTCATTTCTCTACTACCATTTTTTGCACTGGGTGGAAGCAATGAGTATACTGGGCCTTGCGTCGGAAATACTTGGGATTCTCAATGACTTCCAAACAGTCGTATCAGTAAGTTCTGGACATAGTCAGATATAATCAACACTGACAACTGCAGGGCGACTGCTCTTCTACAAATCTGGATTTCCTTCACAATACAAAGCGATTTATTGTAAAGAATATCCAGATAGTTGATCAAGCGCCCCTTCAAGTTTATTGTGCGGCACTCATATTTACACCTGAAACGGCAATAATTCGTAGGCAGTTCCAAGACGAACTTCCTTCTTGGATATGTCAGTTGCCACAAGTTGAGGAAAGATAGGGTACAGAACTACAGACTCTCGAAGGCCATTCGAGTGGGGTTGAGTCAGTGGTCTTTTCGCGCGACGGCCGGCTACTGGCGTCAGGGTCCCACATTAACACAGTTCAAATCTAGAACCCAGCGACGGGCATACTCACCCAGACGCTGAGAGGTCATATTGGTTCGGTTGACTCGGTAGCCTTCTCATCCGACAGCCGGCTATTAGCATCAGGCTCGAATGATAAAACAGTGCGGCTCTGGGACCCGGCGACAGGCACACTTATTCGGACGCTTGAAGGCCACCTGAAATAGGTTCTATCAGTAGATTTCTCGCTAGACAACCGGCTGCTAGCATCCGGCTCTCTTAATAAGATAGTACACCTCTGGGACCCCGCGGTAGGCCGAATTACCCAGACGCTGAAAGGTCATTTAGGTTCGGTTAACTCAGTGGCCTTCTCATCCAACAGCCGATTATTAGCATCAGGCTCTAGCCATAAGATAGTGCGGCTCTAGGATCCGGCGATAGGCGCACTTATTCATACACTTGAAGGCCATCTAACGTGCATTTGGTTGGTGGCCTTCTCGCCAGACGACCGGCTGCTGGCTTCGAGCTCTAGTGATAATATGATACGGCTCTGGAACCCGGCAACAGGCGCGCTTACCCGGAAGATCGATAGCTACTCGAATCAGGTTTTGTCGGTGGCCTTCTCGCCCTATAGTCGGCTACTTGCGTCAGGCTCTACGATAAAACAATACAACTTTGAAACTTGGCGACAGGAGCACTCACACAGACCCTCAAAGGTCATTCGTATCTCGTTCATTCAGTGGCCTTCTGCCCCAACGGCCGGTTATTAGCATCCGGCTCCAGTGATAAAACGGTGCGGCTCTGGGACCCGGCGACAGGCGAACACGCCCAACCAATAAAACGTCATTCGGAGTTAGTTGAGTGGGTGGCTTTCTCGCCTAGCGGTCGGCTGCTTGCGTCAAGCTCTGGTGATAATATAATAGGGCTCTGGGACCCAGCGACAGGCGCGCTTACCAATACACTTGAAGGTTCCTCAATTTACGCCTCGTTGGGGGCCTTCTCACCCGATGAACATCTACTTGCGACCGGCATGAATGATGGTACAGTGCAGCTTTGGGACCTTATGACGGGTGCACTTTGCCAGAAGTTCGAAGGTCACTCAAGTGCGATTTCGTTAGTGGCTTTCTCCACCGACGGCCGGCTGTTGGCATCGAGCTCCGGTGTGCAGCTTTGGGACATAGCCACAGGCGTGTTCACTCAGAATGACAACACCGTGCGTCTCTGGGACGTGGCGACAGGCACACTTATCCGGACGCTTGAAGGCCATTTGGAATTAGTTGCCTCGGTGGCATTTTCGCCCGACAGCCGGTTGATCGCGTCGGGTTCTGAAGATAACACAGTGCGGCCCTGGGATGTGGTGACAGGCGCGCTGGTACCTGCTTGGAATGTTCAGAAAGTGTTCACTACACTAGAATTTGTCCCCGAAGGTTCACATCTCCTTACTAATTTTGGCTGGCTTAACATTGAATCTGGGTGTGACATTTCCACAATCCATCCAGATTGTGCGAAGATAAGAATCTCGATCAGGCAGGACCAATGGATAAGATTGAGAGGTGAAAAGGTTCTTTGGCTTCCTGCAGAATCTCGACCCAGCTGTTTCAAGATTAATGGCAATACACTTGCCCTAGGGCATGCATCAGGGCAGATTTCCTTTATCAGGTTTAATATATAGATATTCATGTCTCTTGTTTCCTCTTGCCCATTGTCTAATATCTTTGTAACACGGCTCTGGCCTGCTTTTGTGAGGGAGATCTCCGCTTCGGAAACGCCCTCCAGGCTGCTTGTACAGGAGGACATTACAAGATCGCACAGATGCTGCTAGAGCGAGGAGTCGATGTCAACGTCCAAGATATACGCTACGGAAATGCCCTTCAGACTGCTTGTGAAGGAGGACACGACAAGATCGTACAGATGCTGCTAGAGCGAGGAGTCGATGTCAAGACCATGAGGCCAGATCATAGGGGGCACCCTCCTCTATCAGATTCTGGCGGCTTATGGCATGGTTGTAATCTCGGAAGAGGTTCCACTGAACCTCGATCTTCTGCCGTAGCGATTGGCTTTCTAAGGCAGTTTTAATTGCACTCTCGATCAAAGGTTGCGGGCTGTCTTTGCTGAGTTCTTGAAGAAATAAATGAAGGGCCTCGTGGGAGTTGAGCGGTTTGGAGAGAATGTCGGACTCAATTGCGGACTGTATAAGATCTGACGGTAGCTACGTAACAATTTATTCTCCACATTGTGGATGCTGGCAAGACGAAATATTATGGGTCAAATTTGCATTCTGGCTGCAAGTGGAGTAGTCGTATCGTAAACTGTCCTGATGTATCAGCGGCTAGGATTGCGATAGCCTCGGGCTTGCCTTGAAACAGACAATCACAACTCTACCAGCCGCTGTGCCAAGCGCCAAGGCATTATCTGTGGAGGCATAAGTAGAAATGGCTGGCCGAAACTCAAAAGGGAGATTGAAAAGTCGCAGACCATCGTGCATCACCCAACTCAGAGACGCATCAACTGAATAGGGTGGCGGGGTCACTTTGCTGCTATCTGGAGAAAAGGCTAGTGTCTCGATATAACATAAATGGCCCTCCAGTCTCTGCACGGGCGGCTCGCCGCTCTATTCAGGGCACTCAGGGCGGATATTCACCCACCTGAATCTTCAGCCCGTACAGAAAAATTTACATTCTCACTTCTGATCGAAATGCTATAAGTAACCTTTCTTTTCCCCTCCGCGTTCATCTCTCAAGCCTCGCTTTGTCACGAGCAAGATGCGTACCAAGCGTGACTCAATGTTGAATAACCACCCTCATTTTTTATCTCCCTTGTATGTTTATAATCTGCAAGATGATTATCATCCGAGTATCCAGCCTCACATGCGAGAGGCCGGCCGCCAAGGTCTATCTGCTACACAAATCAGCACACCCGAGAACAATTCGGAAGGAAAGGATAAGACAATTGATAACATGAAAACCGCTGGTTTGAACTTGAAATCAATGTTTTTATCGGAGTAGAAGAAGAAGAAGAAGGAGGAGCTGGAAGCTGCTAATGTCTCAATGAGAAAAGAACTGAAAGCCGTCAAACCTCGACTTGAAAGATAGGAAGCTTTCTTTTTCTAACACTCGGTGGCTGATTTGGAATTTCGGTATCATTGTTGACTGTATCGGTCGAGACCAGGTGTTACACCTACCAATTTCATAAAAAGAATACTTGTTGCGTTGAGCAGACCGGCCCAACTCAGTATCATGCGGGGGTCTAGGATGTCCTACCGCTTGTAGCCAATGAGAGCCGATACTTACTTCCGTCTGATTTGCAACCTGCCAATCGGATTACGGCGTGATTCCCTTGGTGGGCTGGGTTGGGCTATGGGCCGGGTGGGCTTTGCCGATGTCTAAGTAGTAGGGGGGACGGGGGCTAGGACGGAGATAGAATTAGTAGTATGGAGATAGATGAGCCAGAGTTGCCAGATACAATTACGCTATTCCGGGTCTCTCAGAGAAAGCGTAAGAGTAGGGTAGATGATGATTTCTAGCTATACTAGGAAATTGTATTGAGTTTACTTTCTCCTGAAAATTTTACTGAAACTTTTGCCGAGTCCTGCTATAATTACAATACGTATTGTTACAGGCGAGGATGTATTACTTGTGCATCCGTGCAGTAGGGGCCTATTTGTCTTGTTTGCCTTAGATTTGGGCCCGAACGGGGGTCCGAAAGCCCGCGCGGGCCTATGGGCTAGGCCCGTGACCCGATCACGGGCCGGGCCGGGTCGGGTCGGGTCAAAACGGGCTTTGGAGAAGTCTAGGAACAAGATAAGCAGTCTGAGGGGGTAGCTTGATTACAGACTTCGAAAAAAAAGACAATCGAGTGTTCAATATTCATTTCATTCTGAGCGCCGTAATTTCAAAACCAAGTGTCATGATATTTAACGTTGATAACAGATACAAAAAAGTAGTTGACGAGACTGAACCAAGACAAGGAGGAAACTTAGTACTGAAGGAGCGGCAGACATACCCGAAGTAGTTTAGCGCGGTGTGTGTCGCAAGTAAAAGAGTGTGCGTAGACGTTCTCTTCCTCGATCGTCAATCTCTCGCGATAGTTGCAGTAGAAATACGCCAGTCTGATCGTACTATCGTGCCGTATGCGACGATGGAGTTCGCCAATCACACCGGAAATCATGAGCGTCTTTCCAGTCCCTGGAGCACTAGGACAGAAAAGGGTGCGCCACATTGTTTGATCTTGATCTTGATTGGACCAAGGGACGAATTCGTTCGGCTCGAGGAACCATCGCCCGGTACCGTTGAGCCAGAGCTTTAACTTATCGGCTTGTTTCATTGCGGTATTGATAGGAGAGATCCACTTCATGAGATCAAGTCGGTCCTTCTCATTGAGATGCTGTACTATCTGCTCGATTCCTTTCCGATTCAAGACTGTTATGTCTTTGGTTTCTTGGATAACTTGGCTAGTCATAAAAAATAAGGTCAAATCTTGGACCCTTTCCCCAACTTGGTGTCGAAGTTCTCTCACTGCCGTTTGGTCCCATACAAAACGCTTCCAAAATAGCTTCATTGAGCCGCGAAAATTGTTTGTGTTGATATTAAATTCCCCATAATCGTCCAGTTTCTTCCGGATATCCCTCAGTAAGAGTTAGCATCTTTTTGAAATGTCATGCAGAGTATGGTTTTGTTGCTCACTCAAATGATGGTCATAATGCTGATCAGCCAGATTGAAACATATTTGACAATGTTTCGACTCTGTTTTGTCGTCAGCAACTATAATATCGGCTGTACTAGAAAGCTGGATATCTCACTCCTCAAAAATGATCCTGTACTGCAACGGTGCATCTTTGAATTGTTTCCGCAGCTCATTCGCAAGTTTGAGGAAAGTATAAATGTCACCTGCACCATACCCAAAATTCTTTCTAGTGGCAGAATGTAAAGGTATACGTTATGCGGGTGTAAGGCCTGTCAACTGGGTAAGATACAATAGGCTTTGTGGGAGAAACACAATGTATTGATGTTGTGAATGTATTGATGTTGTGCCACTTGCCAGTCTCGAGGGGGTCCCGAACTATAAGGAAACATTAAGCAAAGAAGCAAACACATAATGGCAAACAATCTATGGAATGCAAACCGATAAACCATGCAGGCAGTAAGCGAGCAAGCAAACATCAAGCATATAATAGCGATCTATCGTATATTGTGACAAGAGCTAGCAAACCACCTGAAAAAGATGAGATAATTAAATTTGCATGGTGCCAAATGCTTCATGATCATGGGGTCATCGGGCCTGGTTAATCTGTCAAGGACCCTGCGCACTATGCCCCTTTGTAATACATTCTTAGATACCTTCGTAGGATCGATGATAGCGTAAATACTTGTCCAAACACCGAACGCCTTGCTTCCCCTCCCCCAATTCATAACATTTGGAGGATCATCAGTTCATATCATAACATGATCCCCTGCACGATTCATCACCATTAAACATCGTCACTCACTAGCAACTCCGGTGGGCCGGAAAACTCGATGCAGATACAATCACCGCAATCGCTACCGCCTATGTTTTCGATCAGACCAGATTGATGCAATTCAAAGTTGAAAGACTTACCGTGGCCATATCCATGCCTGGCATAATCACCATATCCATGGCAGGTCGATATCCCGCCTGGCAGAAGGACAACAACGCTAATTTTTTATTATGCCGAATACTCTCTTTGATTTCCATAATCCTACGATTGTCATCCACCACGTCATACATCGTCAGAACCCGGCCATGGCTCTCGAGGTCGATGGGCAACTTGCGTTCCTTCACGTTGCAATCTACCTGTATCAAGTTCTCGAGCTCCAGATGCAGATCTCCGCCGAGACTGCGCCGACCGATGGCGATGGGGGTCGTCCGGCAACCGGGAAGGGATACGGTCCATGTATTGCGTACCCAGCGCGATCGTTGATGGATTTCGAACAAGGGCAGACCTGATTGATCTCGCACCTCCCGACAATAATGCGGGCTACATCTTCGCCCGCTTACGGTGAAGAGAACGGCACCATTTTCATCTTGGATGGAATAGGCGCATTCGGAGACGGCACTGCCGCCTGGGTATAGGGTGAGGTGTGTCTTCTGCTCTGTCATGTATTCACAACGCAGGCCGATTGGGCGCAGAGGCTCTTTGGCAGGCTTGCGAATATTTTTGTTACGATTTCTCGTGGGGAATGAGGCAACGGATACTTCCGACGTTTCGCTTGCGATTCGCGTGGGCTTCGACATGGTCGTTGTTGTTAAACGGAATCGAGACAATTCAGACCGAGTCCATCCACGTCAAGCTTTCTGAAATGATATTTGGACACAGATAGAATCGTAGAGGTCGTCCTCCTGTGGGCCTCCGACTGTGTGCATCGATGGACTGAACACTTTTGACCTCCGTGTCAGCAGGAATGTAGCAGGTTGCCGTGGAATGGAGAAACCCAATTTGAACCGTCGCAGTCGAACGGGGCCTAGATTTGTGCAAAAGTGCAGTTTTGCTGTATGGAGGAAGGACTACACTTCATCCGAGTCGTGTGAAGTTCATCTCGGCAAGCTCATGATATCATGATGCTTGGTCCTGACCCCCACTGTACCAGCAGCCTCAGCATGCTATTCAAGACTTTGATCAATCATATTCAAACCAGAAAATGCTCGAAAGTCAATCAGGTCTCGTATGACATCAGTCAGATCAAGCCCAAGTCTAGCCCCAAGGAAGGGCGGGAATATCCTGGAAGTTTTATTCGTGAGATCATCTAAAGCAGTGGCAGATACAATATAGTATAGCTTATTTTTAAGTTCTTTTGCCTCATTGGCTGGGGAACAGGGGGGTTCTCCACCCGACCGGCTACTTCGGATCTTCAGATGTGCAGATGTGTGGGGGTCATATTCACCACGGAAGAATTGGCACAGAAGAATCGGCATGGCATTCTCTGCTAGCCTCACTGAATTCGTGATGGACCTTACTAGATTGACAGACTCACTGGGATTTCAAAATCAAAATATTTGGTTGATATTAGGCGCAGCGCAAGCTGAAGCATGGAGAGTTAGATACAATCTGGTACGCAATTTTACAAATTTCCTCGGTAAAACACCTCCCTCAATCCTTAATCTCCGTAATTTCCCATTTCGCGCGCTCTTCCCTCCGATCCTTCACGACCTTTTGTATAATAAGGGCAAGAATTCCAACACCCACGATAAAGACAATGCAAAACACGAGAATAGGCCCGGGTTCTCGCGAGGCCCAATTGCGCCTGACGAGCTCATCGCGGACTTCGATACCCCTCGCGGGGGAAGGATGAATGGCAGCCATCTGGTGATGCAGTTTTTGAGAGCAACGAACCGAGTTGAGCTAGATCCAGCTCCGACAAGTCAGAAATCCAACGGTGTGCCATGGTTGAAAACGTGATCATGATCTAGTCTGACTTACATGGAGGAGGGGTGATCGTAAAAATCAGAGATCAGAGGTGTTGAGCAGTCTGTGAGAGAGTGCCCGAAAGAAGGTGTTCAACGGGGAAGATCTAGGGTTGAAGAGATGGCAAAGGGGCAAGCAACAGTTAACAAAAACCCTGGAGCAGATTTTTGCTAGAATTCAATGCGGAAGAAGAGTTGTCTATAGCTTTTCCGGTTCTCTGACTTCTGTGACGACACGAGAAGGGCTCGGCTTGCGACTTCGTCAATATCAATCCTGATTCTTGATACGGAGTACTGAGCTTAGATATCGCCGGATGTTACCCACGTCTGGAAGCTACGGAACCAAGTTTTAGCTTTCGCTTGGACCGAATATACGACGAATAGGGTAAACCGGATATCAAGCGAGCTTCAAATCTTTCCATTCTTGGCGTCATTCTCATCTCTCTGCACCGGCATGAACGGACCGGTCTATGACATCAAGACGAAAGCTTCTTTTCGTTTGAGAAAGCTCGGGTTGCCAGGTCAGCCAGGTCCACCTCGAGCCTCTACCTCATATAGTCCAGCCTCTGTCGTTTTAATTCCTACTCAATAATCACTTCGTGAGAGGATCACTGTAGCGAGTGAAAAATAAAACCCCTCTCTCCCCTTCCGTTCCCCTGTCGTCGCTGTTCTCGTGCCCCCACGAGGCCTGTTTTGGAGAATGTCGTCCGTATCCAATCCCAACCGCGACGTCGAAAATAACGCTGCGGAGCGCCGATTCTCTGCTATTTCCTATAAGGAGGATGTGAAGATCGATGAATACACGCGCCTGGTGCGATGGATGTCCACCTACCGTGATACGAAATGGGACCAGGCAGATGAAGGCGAAATTCGCGAGAGTCGCGTGTGGTTTGCGCCATGGCGGAAGAGAAAGTTCCGTTGGAAGTATATCGGCGTCGGACAGGAGTTCCCCGATGACTGGAAGTTTACCGACATCAATCACGGCCTGTCGGACTCGGAAGTCGAGGAGAGGCGGAAGGTGACCGGATTCAATGAATTGACGGCGGAGAAAGTCGATCAATTCCGCAAAATCCTGGGATATTTCCAAGGTCCAATTCTATATGGTGAGAGACTATCGCGTCCCCGCCGATTGAACGCAGACAGTGACACACTAACCGGACCTCGACAGTCATGGAGATTGCAGTTTTGCTCGCTGCCGGTTTGGCCGAATGGATTGACTTTGGTGTCATCATTGGCATTCTCTGTCTGAACGCTGCAGTCGGATGGTACCAAGAGAAGCAGGCCGAGGACGTGGTGGCCAGCCTGAAGGCCGATATTGCAATGCGCAGCACGGTTGTTCGCAATGGAACGGAAATCGATATCTTGGCCCGCGACCTGGTCCCCGGCGACGTGGTAAGATGAGCTCCCTATCCTCTTGACTATTTACCTCTAGTAACACATCTTGTCATGTTCAGATTGTCATTGAAGAGGCGACCTCAGTCCCCGCCGATGCCAAAGTGGTCTGCGACTATCAAGAGAAAGAGACAGGCTGGCAGAACTATCAACAAATGCGGCAAGAAGGCAAGCTGGACAAGAAGAAGAAGAAAGCAACTGAGGATGAGGAATCGTCGGAAGAGGATGAACATAAGGACTTCCCCGTTCTGGCCTGCGATCACTCCGCAATTACTGGAGAGTCTCTCGCCGTGGACCGCTATGCCGGTGACGACGTGTTTTACACGACTGGATGCAAACGAGGCAAGGCCTATGCCATTGTTCAATCGACTGGAATCAAGACCTTTGTGGGTCGCACGGCGGCGATGGTTCAACAGGGCGGCTCCGGGACAGGACATTTCCAGATGGTCATGGACGGGATTGGTACGGCTCTTCTGGTGCTTGTGATGGCATGGATCTTGATCATGTGGATCGGAGGCTTCTTCCGCAACCTGCCCATTGCCTCTCCCGGTCAACAGACCCTCCTACACTTTACCCTTTCTCTGTTCATCATTGGTGTGCCCGTCGGGCTGCCTGTTGTCACGACCACCACTCTAGCCGTCGGTGCG